TGTCCTTCTTTGGCATATGAAGCTGGTTCTGAGTCAGACCTGTGGTAAAACTAACCCAGTATTGCTTACTCTGACTGGCAGAGATTCTCCAAGGCCATCTCTCTTAGACTATGCTATCAGGAGCTGTCATCCAAGCTGAGGGCATCAGCTTGGTGGCGCCTGCTCTTGAACCATCTCTGAGAGCAGAATTTTGTAACCACTGGCGAGTCCTGATATGTGACCTTCTCTAGGACACAGAGAGAGTGTCAGTTATGTCTTCTGTGGACAATATGGGGATTCAGTGTTTTGACCTCTTTGTAGGGTCTGGCCTACATAGTTATTTCATAATGGATGCATCTGCCAAAGGGCTTGAGTTCAGTTCCTTGTCCATCCACAAATTCTCTCAGTGACCTTGAGCAAATTGCCTAGGCTTTGCAAAAATAGCTACTCTGGCTCTGAATACAATTCAGTGAGAAATGTGTCATTTTATGTCTTTGCCAATCATCCTTCTTAATATTTGAAAGCAAATTATATCAATTACACACAGAAAGACAGACAGACAGACAGACAGACAAAGAGACACACTCTCTTTCCCCTTCTTGCTATCAGCTCCTGGGTTATTCAAGGAGTTCCAGAGCAAACTGTTTCAAAGAGAAGAACAGAGCCCCCCTACCTGCCTGTACTCCTGCAGATCCTGTAGTTCCCCTAAGCCTACTGAGTGCTGCTACCCATCTCTAGCACAGGGGTGACAACTTGAATAAAACATTGTGGGGGCCAAGGTATGCCCTGCCCTGCATAATCAATGAGATGATGCAGTGCACACACACACCATTCAAATGGTATTGCCCATCTAATTTGTGGGGGCCCGGCCCCCTCAAATATTTTATTTACTGAAGCTCCCATGGCACCTAGGAGTTGGCTCCTATGCTCTGGCACCTGGTTTAGCTACATAAGAATCTACATTCAGAGATTGAGTCTACTAGTAGTATATTATGGCATACAACTCAGTGCCCTCAGATGCTTCAGACTACAACTCTCAGCAGCTGCTGCCAACATGAGCAGTGGTCAGGGATGATGGGAATTGTAGTCCAGATATGTGGTGGGGGCCACCAGGTTGGGGAACCCCTGTGTATAGGATGGTGATAGAGGTGAGCAACCAACACAGGGTGTTATGCTCACACATATTGAATGACCTATGCACCTTTTGGAAGTACAACAGCATTCTGTGTACAACTTAGGGGTAAATTCTCTTTGTGAACTAGCCAAGAGGGGGCTGGATGGAAGTATTGCTTAGCAACCAGGTGGAAATGCATGATGTTTGCTGAAGTAGCACGTGTCCAATTGGCTGAAGGAGTTTTTCTTCTATATATTTAGGTGAATGTCTCCCTGCTATATACAAGGCCTGAAGTAAGAAAGACAAAACCTGAGAAGTATAATTTTAACTGAATAAATTCAAAATATCCTCAGTAAGTTGGAAAAAAATGCAGTGAAAGGGTAACATTTTGTTATATATGGTAGACATGCAAAGTGATATCTAAATTTTGGACTGAAATCTTTGGTGAAATTTATAAAATTGCTAACCAAAATCTTGAATCTAAACCACAATTAGCTTTATTGATAATATTTGATAACTCAGAACAGAATATAGTTTTTAACAGCCTTATTATTTTCTTGGTAACAACAGCTAGATTGGTAATAGCAAAACCTTGGGAAACTTCTCATTCTAATTTATTTGAATTTTGGTGCCAAGAAGTTTGGCAGATTTCCCTCATGGGAAATTTATTCGATAAAGTGAAAGCACAAAGTAAAGATCCGTAAGTTGTCATGTTGTGTGGTATAAATGTATTAAATATGTGTCTATGTCAAAAAAATCTTCACAATCCAGCTCTGTAAACCCATGAAACATTTTGGACAACTACACTTGGGAACCTGAAATTTGAATAATAATGAAATGGACTTACATGCCGAAATGTAATGTCTCAAACTTTACAACTCCTTTCACTAGGTCTATCTATGTTATTGTTAATGATGTTGTGTGTTTTAATTGTTACACACACACACACAAATGTATAAGAAAGACAAAATTTCTCTGTTTATTTCTCCACATATTATACACTGATCTTGTTTAGTTTTCCTCCGTAGAGTGTTACCAGGATTTCTCTCTCTGGAGAAATTGCTTACATTATTACAAACAGTGTGGAACATTAATTCAACAGTCACAGTTCAATGGTAACACAACAGGAGATTTGGAGACTGCATAGACTCTCCACATTTCATTTTCCACAGGAACAAATATTTACATTGCATAAGTGTAAGTATACAAGTAAGATACACCCCCATACTTATTTCTGGACACTACTTTTTGGTACACAAAAAGTGAGCAAGGAATTGTGGGATTCCTTAGCCAGAAAATGAAGTTATTGCTTTCTGGGAATGATCCTGGCTCAACAACCGTGGGAACAGCCTGCTATCTTACTTTCACCTTAAGTGGTTCAAATGATATTGTAAAGCAGTGGGATAAAAATGCTGCACGTTCCTGGTACTTTGGGGAAGAGCTGAAGCTCAGGACTGCAGAACATTTTTGCATACAGAAGGTCCCAGGTTCAGTCCCTGATGTCATCTTCAGGCAAGTCTGGGAATTTCCCTTGCCCGAAACCCTGGAGAGCTGCTGCCAGTCAGTGTAGACATTACTGGGCTAGATGGACCAACAGTCTGAATATAAGGCAAAGTTCCCTTTGGGTGGAACCTCCTAGGAGACACAAGTCACTGGTGGTGGGTGGAGCCAGAGGCAAAAGTGGGTGTGGCCAGCATGATGGCCATGACTCTTACCTTTGTACAGTAGGCTAACCATGTCAAACCAACCATGTCAAAGTCAGAGGTTTCTAAACACACGCCTGTCTCTCTATCCACCTTCCATCCAAGCAAGCAAGAGGCATCCTCACAGTTCAAGAACTCATCCCAGCCAGGCAAATGCACTCAAGCAGTGCTGGTACAAAGGGTGTGGACTGGGCAAACTTCTGAGGGCAAGACAGAGGTTCATATTTGGCTCTCAGGTCTGAGGTTGCCAATCCCTGCGCTATGGAAAACACCACCTATGGAAAATAAGAAGCCTGCTTTAAACCAGTGGTTGCTTTCTACAGGTTGGGGTGGGGGTAGGCTTGAACCCCAACTCCTCTCAGCCCCAGCCAGCATGTCCAATGGCCAAAGATGGCAGAAGCTGTCATCCAACAACATCAGGAGGGTGACAGGTTGCTCACGCCTGGTTTAAGCTCTGGTGATTCTTTCCAGATTTAGCTCTGAGAGCAGCATGGGGTGGTGGCTGAGGAAAGGGGAGTCTCGTGCTTTCATCCACACCTTGTTGTTAGGGCCCACAGAGCAGAGGGGGTTTCAACCTGTCAGAAGACCCAAGACCAAGAAGTTGATTTTGTATTTTTGCAGCAGCCAAAGGAGCAGGAAAGACTCGACTGTTGTTCTGGGTAATAGTTTGAGCTGAGAGGTACTGAGGCAATTCTGCCTTGGGAGATTGGAAGGGAAGATTTCTGTGGATTAACATAAAATCAGAGCAGAGCTGAGGTGGCAGTGAGGGTGACTCACTTGCAGGCCTATTATGAGGGGGTGGAGGGGAGGGGGAGAAGAGATTTTGTCTGCTTCCATGGTGGATCGCTCATCATCAAGCATCCCCCACCTCACCTCTGTCTCTGTGCAGTTTTCCCGGCAAGCAGCCCAGTCCTCAAACCATTAAGCCACAGCCATTTCATCTGCTCAGCCAAAGGTTTCAGAGATGCCTTAATATGGTTTTACACTGGGCACCAGTCCTGCCACTAGGCAGGGTCCTTTCTATTGTGCATTCATGTTTATTTGACTTGATGATTGTGTTAGGATGGCTAGATGCCATTCTATTTCCAATACGGTTTTGGCTGAAAACACATTTGCGTGGACATGTTTCATTTTCAACCAGTGCATCTCCCATAGCTTCCCACTGAAATACTGTCACTTTTAAAACCACAAAGGTTTCAGTTTTTGTTTTTTGTCCTGCTTCTGTTGTGCTATCGTGCATGAGTGCTCCCTCAGGGGGCAATAATGAGTTAACATGATGTGTGGACAGTCCAGTACAGTGGTACCTTGGGTTACATACGCTTCAGGTTACATACGCTTCAGGTTACATACGCTTCAGGTTACACACTCCGCTAACCCAGAAATAGTGCTTCAGGTTAAGAACTTTGCTTCAGGATGAGAATAGAAATCGGGCTCTAGCGGCGCAGCAACAGCAGGAGGCCCCATTAGCTAAAGTGGTGCTTCAGGTTAAGAACAGTTTCAGGTTAAGTACGGACCTCCGGAATGAATTAAGTACTTAACCTGAGGTACCACTGTATAAGTAAATGATTATTGTGTCAATGGCATGTTTCAGAATACACACACACGAACACAAAACCCACAAGTCTCAAGGGGCCCTGAGGCAGCTACCTCAGCTGGCAGATACAGGGGAACAGGGATCAGCAGCAAATAATGGATCCACACTGTACAGTAATTTTTAAGCACATCCAGTGCACATTTAAAACACATGACCTCCCTCAAAGAATCCTGGGAGCTGTAGTTTCCTCCTCACTGAGCTAAAATTCCCTACATCCTTAGCAAACTATTGTCCCCAGGATTCTTTGAATTTAAAGCCATGTGCTTTAAATGTATGGCAAAGATCTTCCCAAAGTGTTGGAGGACAGAGCTGGGTGTGTCACGTGGCCTGGCCACTGTGCCCTCTAAGCCAGCCTGATGTCAGGTGTGATGTAGGGTGCTGTCCTGTCACCGGTGCTGAAGTAAGACAGAACTGCCAGCTCAGTTAGTTTCTCTGCTTGGAATAGGAGGGGTGCTAAATCTGCTTTTGCTTAGGCCTCAGCAATGTTTCCAGATGGCTCTCCTTTGTCGGAAGCAAAGGTTTATTAGGCAAAGTCACTGGTAACACGCAGATTCCTATGAGGAGCTACACAAGCAGGGCTTGAAGACACCAGTCCTCCCCTGTGGTAGAAGGGCCATAGCTCAACAGCAGAGCATCTGCTTTGCATGCAGAAGCTCCCAGGTTCAATCCCTGGCATTTCCAGGTAGTCTATTAATACTGCTATTATTACTGCTACTAGGAAGACTTCTTTTTTCAAAAAGCCCTTCGACCATAAGGTCCAAGGGCAGGTTATAGTAATATAAAAATACAACTTTAAAACCAGTTAAAAGTATTTCTGTTGTGGTCTGTGGGAAAACTCAGCAACATAAGATTGAGTTCAAGCATACCTTGTTAAATCTCAGGGAAATACTCAAGACTTTGCAGTATCCAGGCTTCTGAAACTGGTGTAAAATCAACATTCGTCTCAGGGTTGGTTTGTTTTAAGAGTAAGAAGTGCCTTGATTGACTTCAGTGATGGATTTGGCTCTGTTTGTCTACATATTTCACTAACAAATTCATAATCTCGCCTCCCTGCTCTTGTACCTCATTTCATGCTCATCAAACCGCTGAAATGGCACTGCCATCCCAACCCCAGACACATTTGGGCTTGACTTCTAATGTATAATACTTTATTCAAAATGCTCATTTCAGCTTTCCTTGGTGAGTCAGGAAGAGGGGCCTGTAGGTAATTCTCAGCAGGCTGCCTTTGATTTATAGTAGGTTCATGCAGTTTGAAGATTCTGCCTCTCTCAAGATGTACAGTAAGCTCCCCTCATGTGGGAAAAACCTGCATTCAGGGGTGGCCTCAGTATCCCAGAATGTATTATTCTGCTTTAATAAATCTGGATTAAATGTTACCTAATAATTTTGTGGTCTCAGCTGATTTGGGAGAATGACTAGATCACAACAACCTTCCAGACCCTCTTGAGTGCTAATATTGGCAGAAGGGCCTTCTTGATAGTTCCTCCTCCCTCAGAAGATCGGGAGGTGGCGGTTGAGAGGGGGGATTCTCTATGGCAGCTCCTAAATTGCAGAACTCCCTCCCCACAGAGGTGTGTCTGGCACTTTCTTTATACAGCTTTGGGTGAGTGCTGAAGACGCACCTCTTTTGACACCCAAGATGTATATTTTTAGGACCCATCTTATTTCCGTAATCTTAAATTGTTCCAAACTGTTTTTTAATATTGTGTTTTAATGGCTGCAACTCGCCCTAGGACCTTAGGATAAAGAGCTGATAATACATTGTAAGAAGCATCGTCATTGTCATGTTTATTTCTATGCCACAAAATTGTGCCCAAAGTGGCTTGCAATGTTATCAAATAAACCAGAAGTATGACACTTCAAGAAACATATTGGAAACAATTGGATATAATATCATAAGGAAAAACATAGAAAGCAATTGTATGACACGATACAAGCAGTCTCACCTAATTTAACAGTGTAAACTAAACAGATGGGAGAATAACAACAACACAAAACATTGACTAGTAGTATGAAAGATATCACCATGCTCCAGACAATACACCTGGATCCACACAACTAAAGATCCCAGTTGGGGTCTTGCAAACACCCACACCTTGGCTCTTACCTGGAGGGGCCCTATGTCCACCCTTGTTGTGGGCTGTCACACCACATGGCGGCCAATAACTTTCCTTCCACACTCTTCCACCAAGCAATAAACATTTGTCTAGGCTGGGGGACATAAACAAGTTCTTTGGGTAGTGCCCTCACCCTCATCATGACCCCTGAAGTTAAAAACCCAAAGAAGAAAAGCCCCTTTGGTGTCACTCCTGTGGGGCTGACCCACCAAGGTAGGCCCACCACCAGTGACCTGTTATGCTGCCATAGTCTGCCATATTGTTTCCTACTCATGTGAGTATTTACCAATATGAATACAGAGATAATACTTATTAAACACACAATCAAAATATGCAGATTTACATGTTTCTGCAGTGAGGAATAGCTCAGCAATTAGCTCAGCAATTAGCTCCACTAAACTGTCAGTATCAATCACTTCAGTTTGGGGAAATTAGCTAAATGACTCTGACCATGACTAAATCAACATATGTGCAATATGCCCACAAAAAGAGGCGGAGGAAGGGGCAAGGCAGGGGTACAGTTTAGGAGGAAACATATGTCCAGCACAGCTTAGAGAGAGACCCTAGCCTAGTCTGTTCTTATCAGTCAGTTTCCAGCAACCCATCTAAAACTCTCTCTCACACACTCACATAGGAATTTACCCCTTATTAACATTTTTAACAGTGACTATTAAAAAAGTAAAACTTAACTTAGTTGTGTTGATAACACAAACATCCTGACATTGGTACACCAATTAACACAAGTATTGCAGGGGGTAAATCCATGGTAGTGGTTCAATCCACAAGTGAACTGAACCTCCAGCAGTTTCAAGCTGCAGTCTATGAAATTCCTTTGTTCCAGTATCCCTTAAAGTCATTACAGAAAGTTCTGGGAGGTGGAAATGTTACCCTGCTGGCTTTTGAATGTTTGGCCATTTATGATGACAGATTTGTATACATTTGTCCTTTTGCTTAAGAGACAAAAGGCTGCAAGTATTCAACTGTGCATCGTTGTTGGGTGTGAGCTCCCTCTTCTGTTGTATTTGGCAATAGCATTTCTCAGTTTCAACTTTTCCTCCTTAGTTCCAACCTGCTTTTGATTATCTCCATCTTAAGGTTTTGAGTCAGTTTAGAATTGCTTGTTTATAGATCTATATCAACTGTGGGAAGCATTTTGGTCCTCCAGATGTTGCTGAACTGCAACTCCCATCATCCCTGGCCATTGGCTATGCTTGCTGGGTGTGATGGGAGTTGTAGATCAGCAACATCTGAGCGCAAAAGGTTCCCCACATCTAATCACTATTGTTACTTATTAACGTATTACATTTACAACCCACCTTTCATCCAAGGAGATCAAGGTGACATACATGGTTCTCCTCATTTTATCCTCACAACAACAGGCTGAGAGACAGTGACTGGCCAAAGGTCACCCAGCAAGCTTCATGGCTGAGTGAGGATCTGAACCTGGGTTTTCTAAGTTCGTTCTCTCCTTCCCTGTTTATATTTTCTACTTTTCTATTTGTCATTTCTTGAATTTTGTGGGGGAACAGACAGAGAGTGGATCAACACCCTATCTGCTGCCCTGTTTTTGCTAGAAAATCATTTTTCTCTCACCAAGTCAGCATAGACATCACTCAGATAGGAGTGCAAACATGCTGGGAATGTGGGTTTGGGAGAGCACATCCTTGTTTGAGACTCTGTCCTGCCATGTGATGGCCAAAATCTTCCTGACGCAGTGCCTGTGGAAGGTGTTGAGGCGTTGCTCCTGGCGGTTGTAAGTTGCCCATGATTCACTTCCATAAAGCAGCATGTTCAACAAGCAAGCCTGGTAGACCTTCATCTTGGTATTGGACGTTAGCGCCACATTCTCCCACACACTTTTGGAGAGGCAAGCCATCGCTGTAGCTGCCTTGCTCAGCATCAATGGAGAGGTTGCTGGTTATGGTGGAATCCAGGAAGACAAAATCATCTACCACCTCAAGCAAGTGGTCACCAATACTGAGGCGTGAAGTGCTGGAGACGTCCAGACACAGGATGTTGGTCTTTGTCAGGCTGATGAGCAAAATAGTTGATTAGTTTCTGTAGAGCTTCCTCAAACTGCACTGTCAAAATCAACTGGTGTATCTTTCACCAGACTCAACATACAGCATTGGGAGAAAGCTTCACCTCTTGAATTTCTGCCAGCAGTGATGGCGACCATTGGCCTGCCAAAGGGTGGGGTTTGGAATCAGCAACTATAACCATCTGCTGCGCTTAGATTCGTATGAAATCAGTTGCTGCAATATTGGATGGAAGCTTCAGGTTTTGAATTTCTGAGCCTTGTGTCGTTCTTAGGTAGGCGGATGCCTGTCACAAGGGATGGTGTGCTGGGGCGGGAAAAACACGAGTTGGAACGCTGGCGCTCTAGGGCACTCTGCACGTGCTCAGAACCATTCTTGCTTCATATTACAGTGACTATGAAACAAGTTCTGGACGGTAAAAGTGCTCAAATGACTCAGTGCGCAAGCGCAACAAAGCTCTGTCTCCCGCCCCATCTCTAGGTTAGATCGCCTGATTGGCTGCTAACCCTTTTAGGGGCGGTCCCCGCCCTCCGACTACTTCTCTGGAGCTTAACCATGCGCCGCCACACCCCTTTCTTTTTTTTTCTTAATCTCTCGCTGCCCTGGGCGCCTCTGCGCATGCGCTTCCACAAACCCTTCACACTCTCTTTAGCCGTCTCGCCGCCGCCGCCGCCGGCGCGCTCGAATGACGTCACGCCATGGCCGCCTTGCTCCGACGCCGCCAGTAGAGGCCCTGTCTCGCGCCCTGCCGCTTCTCGGAGCCGCTTTCCCTCCCTCCTCGTCCCCTTCCCGTCCGGTCAGGTGAGGAGAGACGGGCCCGGCTTCCAGGCCCGGAAGTGGGCGGAGGGTCGTAAGGGAGCTGGGCTGAGGCGCCCTGGAATGGGGGCGGGGGCGCCTCCCTCACCTCCACTGCTCGCGCTCTGGGTCTTCGGAGGGCGGGGTGGTAGGCCTCTCCCCCAGCCCTGAACGGGGATGACGTTATTGGGGAGGGGGGGAGGCTGTGACTCCCTCCCCCCAATAACCAGGAGGGCTAGTTCAGGGTGGCGGGGTGTCAGAGGGGTGACCTCCAGGGCATCCCACAAGGAGGCGGGAAAAGGGGAGGTCGGCGTTGCTCTGTGGGGATGAAGGTGGCTTCGAGCAGAGGGGAAAGAGGGACGTTCCGTGTTAACAATTGAAGCGGTCAGAGCATCAGGCAACCTAGCCTGGAAGCATCTCTCTGAAGTTTGAGGCTGCTCCCATGCTGCATGAGGTGGTTCGTACTGCCGGTAAAAGATGGGATTGCTACATCCAGAGGCCCCCCCCCCCGTGATGTTTGGACTCCCACTCCTATTATCCCTGGTCACTGATCATGTTAGCTGGGCCTGATGGGAGTTGAGAGCATCATGTTGGCTACCCTTGTGAATGTTAAGCTTCCTTAAGATGCGTTGGATCATTGACCCAGACACACTGCTGTTGTCATCTCAACAGTTCTCCATGTTCCCAGGTACACAGAGGCCTTTCCTAGCAGTCTTACTAGTGATCCTTTTGATGGAGATGCTGGGGATTTAACCTGTGACCTTTTGCAAGCAAAGTAGGTGATCTGCAATTGAGCTGTGGATGCTTCTGATAAACCTGTGCAACTTAGCTGCTGTCTTTTGTAACCAGAAATGAATTTGAGAGCTTCAGTATGTGCTTTACCACAGAGTGATGGTGAACATGTAAAACATGGGTAGCCAATGTGGTGTCTTCCAAATATGTTTTGGTTCCATTTCCTTTTAGCACCTGGCAGCATAGCCAAATAGCAGGGATAATGAGACTTGTAGTTCACCAACATCTGGGAGGGCACCATGTTGATTATCCTTGCCCTATAAGAGTTGAGTTGGATGACTGCTCCACCAAGCCCAGTCTCATTCTTGTCATTGGCAGTTTCAAGCAGAGAAATCTCTACTTGACATGAGATAGTACATTGGACCTTCTGCATGCAATGCACTGAGTTATGGCCTCTGGGATTGGTGGTGGTGGTGGTAAATTGAGGAGGGTGAAAGGTTGATGGCTGCTCCTGCTTTGAAGGGTGTATTGGGACAGACTGAGTCCTCAATGAATGGAAAGCAAGTTGTGATGACAAGTGCCAATGTGGGTTCCTCATTAGCTGGCTACAGGTTCTTTTCTGGATGGATTTGACAGGGGCCAATGCTGCAGTTAGGGTATGTCAGGCAACAGCTCAAATGGGAAATGACTGAGTAGGTTGACACTGATTCTGCTGGGAGGCTTAAGAACATGGATTTAGTTACTGAAAAGAGAGTGGCAAAAGAGGGTGAGACGGAGGTATTAACTTATCTGTGGACAGCACAGAGACAAGAGGTGCTCTGAAGTTGCAAGTAGAAATTCAAAGGGGAGGTTTAACTGAAATGAAGATTTGAGGTTCATGCAAAGGATGCCTGATCAAGTTAAGTTTTGCATTAATGTATATGAAGTTATCATTGGTTTCTCATATAAAGGGAGTAGGTGGGAACACACATCCCCTGACTGCATAATGGTAGTGGCGCCCTCCCTGTGGAACGCCCTCCCTTCAGATGTTAAGGAGATAAAGAACTACATAACTTTTAGACGACATCTGAAGGCAGCCCTGTATCAGGAAGTTTTTAATGTTTGATGTTTTACTATGTTATATATAAGCTGTAAGCCACTCAGAATGGCTGGGGAAACCTAGCCAGATGGATGGGGTATAAATAATAAAATTATTATTATTTCATTAATTAAATGAAGAAATTGGGTGTTGCTTTGTATGGATGGAGATACTGAAAGGCTTGATGGATTGCTTGAAGTGAGGAAAGATAATACAATGGGGTCTTAATTTAAGATGCAAAAGCTCAAAATGTGATTTGTCTTAGGGAGCAGAAGGAAGTGTGAGTGCTGAAGAAGGGATAGGGTGTAGGAAAGATGAAAGATCAAGACCTTTGTTAGTCCCGTCTTAGCTGGTGAAGACTCTGCATATATTCCTAAATGGCCTGGTAGCTCCTGGATATCTCAAAGATAAGCTTTGTTAATAGGGAGCTCTTTGATACCTTGGGAAGAATAACTAGGATTTGTTGTTGATACTTAGCATTTTCAGAGTGCTTTCAGTCTTCAAATAACCAATCTTGTCATCCTTATAAGAAGTTTAGAGGGTAAATTAGTATTATCAACATACTGCTGATAAGGAAAGAGGCTGATGCTGAGAGAGAATGACTTGCCTACAGCCGCCTTGCAAGTGCATAGCAGAGGCAAAATTCAAAACTTTACTCTCTTTCTGGGCCATTGCATTATATCACCTCCCTTGTGGTTGCCAGTGGAGGAGGATCTTTTAAAAAAATCTCCTGACAAGTTGTTAAGCATTGTGGATTAGTGAGAGCTAAGTAAAGCCAAGATAAATCATGTTTAACCATTCATCAGCCCTCTGCATTTTGAGGAAATGTGTTTTCAAAAAGTAGCATGCTCCTTCTAGGCTCTTAATGACACTTCTCCATCTTAGCTTCATTTTCTCCTGGCATTGCATAGATATGTGGTATAAGATCCCATTGTATTATGTGGATCTATGTATAAGGAGCTGGTAAGTCTTATTGTTTTCAAGCACCTATGGCTAGAGCAACAGACTTTGTGATAGATGCCCATTCGTTACCGGGCTGTTAAAAACAGTACTGCTAAAGGTGGATTGTTGTTGGTTGTTCTTTGAAGTATTTATTTGCTGGTTTTAAGCTTAAAACGTCAGGAAACAGTTTATTTTTATTTATGGTCATTTTATGTAATCAAATGCAGCAGTAGAAAGAAAGTCTAAGCCAGAAATTTTTTTTAATCATACTAACAGCACAGTCCTCTACAGGTCTGTACAAAAGTAAGTCCCATTGAGTTCAACAGGGTTTGCTCCTAGGTAAATGGGAATATGATTGCAACCTAAAATACACTAAAAGCATGGACTTTAGTTTTGCTAAACAAATTACTTTCAATGTATAAGTGCCAATTGCATTTTGTCCCTGTAACTGGGCAGGAATAGAGTGGGTGTGACATTTGTCAAACAAAATACTCTGCGAACTGCAAACCCAGTATTATTTCAGTCCCTGATCACCAAAGCCCCATCTGGCATGAGACTAGATGTTGCTCACCCTTCCTCTCTAAACCATTTCATAGTCAGTACCATGGATAGGTAGCATTGGGTAGACTTCACAGTGATCAAACTACGTTCTCAACAGTGGCCAAGTATTTTCATTTTTTTATTCTACTTTTGTCCTATCCTTTGAACCTCAAGGCAGTATACCTAGTTCTCCCCTCCCTGTGCTATTCTCCCCACAACCCTGTGAGGTAGGTTAAATTGAGATAACATTAATCTGAGATAGGCTAGCCTAAGGTCTTCCAGTGAGCTTCATGGCTGAATGATGATTTAAACCTACATCTCCATGGCCCTAGTTAGCTACTAATCACTACACCATGCTTAAATTAGATGGAGGTTCTTCTGGAATTCTTTGTAAAAGTAACAGATCATGAATTGATTTTCTCAGAGCGAGCTTTAGTAATACTCAGTATGTAATCAATAATATAAAAGAATTTCCTTCATTCTTGGCCAGCACTGGATAAAAATTCAAGGCACTAGGAATTTGATTCTGGCACCTGGGAATATGCTGAAGGCCAGTTTCTTAAAAAAAATGATGATTGTTATGGAACTAATTGAATGCGGCAAATACTTATTTTAAATGTTTTTTGGGTCTTATTCATTGATCACTTAACATTCCGTCTATTCCATGTTTAACCTTTAAAATGAGCACTTCATGGTTAGATTTTTCTGGGGTGAAAAGATTTCCTTTCCCTAAATGTTGTTCCCACAAACAGATTAAATTAAATGGAAGAAAAATGCTATTTCATCTGAGACCTAACTAGAGAAGCAAATTACCATCTTCAGGCAAAATTCCTTTGGGGAATGGTAACACAGAGACAAAGGCTAAATCTTGTTCGCTGTAAAATCCCATGTTATTCACAATAGAGAGAAACATTTCTCTTGTTAGACCTTTCAAAATCTTTGGTTATGAGTATAATAACATATGTTTGAAAATACTGGTTTTTAGCTCACCCATTTATTTAGTTTCATTTGGCTTCTGTGGCACAAAATATTCATTCACTGTCCTCCATTCTCCAGGCTTGGTAATAGTTGTCTTTTATCCTGTGTTAGTAAGGATTGGCTGCAATTGACATGGTATGGGGTTTCTTTTTAATGGGACAGAATTACACTTCAGATTAAAGTTAGCCAAGCCACATGACAAGGGAGGACACAAATACACACACTCTCCTTGATTGGGAGCCATTTGACTGAGGGAGGAATAATGTCTTCCTATGCTCAAATATGTCCATCTGCTAATCAATCGGTGAAGCCCTATATGTATACCAACTTAAGATCTTCTGCCAGACTGACATGGTTGTTCACAGCTTGCTACCCTGTTCATTCTTGCTTCTTATGCAATTCCCTTTCATCCAGTATTCGAAATTAGCCAGGCGCCTGGTGCATTTTGCACCTGGCTACCAGCCACTTGTGACCAAGTGAAGATGACTGGGCACCAGGATGGTGCCTGCATCTGTACCATCTGAAGGTGCATTCATTAGCTATTGACTGTTTTCACACACTAATACCGCATTCTGTAGAATTCTGTCAGTTATATTTTATCTGCACAATTAGAACGAACTTCAGGAACCAAAATGCTTTTTCTATGCAGCCTGAGCAGGAGTGGTGAACAGTGTTATAGTTAATTGCTGTAGCTTGTCTTCACTTACACCACCCCACTGCCCTACTCACAGTTGTGAAGAACATTCTTATGTTATGAATGGTCCATGTCACCATTAAGAGAAAGAGATAGAAATAGGGCAATATATATAGAGAGAGAGAGACTGTCCCTGGATCAAGTGACTTTTCTTCTTTAAGTTCTTAACCTAGCTCAAGGTTGTCATCTGAAATAGCCAGATGTCACAGTCTTTAGAGCTGTCTTACCCAAAAATGACAACTAGACCTTCTGTTTTGGTGACTGTAACCTTAGTTTAAGGAACTGTTTGGTGCTTAGCTTATATATCTGAGTTTCTAACACTGCTATCATCATGAATTTAAGAGGGGTGCTGTATAAAACATAACTATTGTTTGGAAGGTGATAATTTTTCTAGTGTTTCTGTTGCTTTGTCACAGGTGCAAGGTATATTCTTGGTGTCTGCACAACTTTTATGTCACTTGAGAAGTCATTGGGCAATGTTGCACACATGGAATTCTGTGAGCTAAACAGTCAGTGAGCAAAATACCTCCACCTCCTTTAGTCTTGCTGATGAAATATAACTAGGCATTACCTTCCAGACTTACTAAAGTACCTCTGTCACATCCTCTCAAACTTATTTGGTTTTTAAGCTGGCTGTTTCAGCTGGCCTTAGAATCAGTTATTCCAGCTCATCTTCCTCTGACTCTCTACATTTCTGTAAGCCTGTTAATGTCGACCTTTAAGTTTGGGTGTTTCAGATTGAAAACAAACTTCTGGGCCTGTCTTCAGCAGGGAATAATTTCTGAAGTAATTAAACCATTTTAAATCATAATTGGAAAATGGCCAGTACAGCAAGCTTTTGGTCATAGATGTTTCCGATCTCTAGCCTTTAAGTGCTTTTGAAATGGCGAACTTATGGGTAGCTCTTCCAAGCTACACTTTATTGCCCCGAGCCACAGTTTAATAGAAGTCAATTAGTTGCATTCTTTAAGCTTCCTGATAACATTCTCTCAGTTGGAAATTCAAATCTGTCCCAAAATTTGATGTACAGGTATTCTCAAAGTATTAGCGTCTAGTGAATCAAACTGTGTTAAGGGCTCCTTCAGTTAATTTTACTTTTCTTTTAAATAAGACCTGTTTTATTCCCCCATTCTAAAACATATATTACATTCTTACAGCATTCTAAAGTTAAAGATCTTTAAAGTTAGGAGTTTATTACCTACCCAGACATTCTATGTGGTACTAATATCACTTTATCTTTGACACTTTGTGTCTTATGTCTACTTTTTTAATATTAGCTATTTGTTTTTGTGCCTGTATGAAGAAGATTGACATATACAGGCCCAAATCAAGGCTAGCTGTAGAAACTTTACACCTAGTGCGGGGAGAAACACAAGAATACTGCGCAATATGGAGGAAGGTTTTTCTTCTCTAAAACAAGTGTTGGGTATCTCTGGTCCTCCAGTTGTTCCTGGATTGTAACTCCCATCATCTCTGACCCCGTCATGCTGGCTTGGGCTGACAGGAATACAACAACATCTAGAGGACTGCAAATTAATTACCACTTCTCTAAAGAAAATACATAGGGTCTAATACAGTTGTGTGGAATGGATTTTAAAAAAAAAAAAATCTAAAAATGTACTGTTCCATAAAATGAATTAGAATCATAGAATCATAGAGTTGGAAGAGACCACAAGGGTCATCGAGTCCAACCCCCTGCCAAGCAGGAAACACCATCAGAGCACTCTGATGGAATTAATTTGCTTTTTGAATGTACTCAGCACAAGAAAAAATGGGCTATTTCAAAGTTGTACATAATATTTTTTAAGTGATTGTCATTACGAAGCCTAAATATTACATATATATTACACATAGTCTATTTATGTTTAAGGCAGAATCTATGCAGAGGGCTCTAAACAACCCAACATGCAGCTAAATCTTCCAGTCACTTTGAAAGCTCAAAGTCAACCTACCTTTCCTGAAGGCTCAGTGGTTTTGCTTGTACTCAGGATATCCATGTTCACCAGTGATGGCTAGCCTGTTGCCTTCTAGATATTTTGGACTTCCAATTACCATCAGAACCATCCAGCTGATGGCTGATGGGAGTTTTAGTTCAACATCATCTGGATGGCAAAAGGTTAGGTGCTCCTGCTGTTCATGGCACACAGGTTTGGCAGTAACCAGCATCGTTGATTGACTGTTGGCACTTAGATTGGAGTGTCATTTTTCTATCCATTACAGCCTAGTAAGGAGGAGGGGGCAAAACTATTGCATTCACATGTTTCCCCCCTTTCATAAAGACCTGCAAAACACTCTTAGGGTGTTCCTTCCTATTTGCCCTTTGACTTTTGAAAGACTAATTATGTCAGCGGAAGCATAAGGGGAAAGGGTTAGAAGGGCAGAAAACAACTAGGTGTTCTAGAATTTGGCAACAACCTCCAGGTTAACTACTTCTGCACATATGTAAAGGGGCAGTGGATTCTAATTAACTCCAGCTATCTGACTGTTTGTTTGATAACTCATCCCAGAACTTTAATTTCTTCCCACCCTGTGAGGTGAGATAAGAAAAGCAATACAATGAGAGCTTCAGAGGGAAAGAGAGAAAAGGATGGTGCTGTTGAAATAGCAATTGCAGGAAGCCTGACTGTCACTGCTTTGCCTTCAATATTGTTCTCTCCCTTAGCTAATTGGTTAGCTAATTCTCCTTTGCGGCCGAATTGTTGGCAATAGATAAATAATGGTAGAAGTGAAAGCCATGGCATTAAAATGTCAGCTTGGTCTTTCCATTGCTTGCTGTTCTGCATCATGCTTCTCACTCCAGCAGGCTGTTTGGGACCTACCAGTGGCTGATGTTGCACTCTTGCCTGCAGCCCACATCCCAAGCCTAGGAATACCATCACTCATCCATCCCCCAATTGTTGCTACTCTTGATTTTTGTTATATGCACCGTAGATGTACCCCTGTTCCTCCTCTCAGTGTACAACAATGCAAACGCAAAATGCTGGCTAAAAACTGTTAGTGAATATATGATCGGTTATGATGTTATTCAAAATACATGAAAAAGCCACTTCAAAATGATGTATATATCATACAACACATCTCACAAAATATGCAAGTAACTAGAAGTTGTTATATATATCAGAGTCAAACAAAGAATCAAACAAATCAATGAATAGCGAGGAACGCCAAGCCGTCTCTCAAAGGAAGACGTCTCTCCGAAGTTTCAAAAGGAGATATCCCGAATAGTTCAACTGTTTCAGAATAAAGTCTTCATCAGCTGGAAATGGAATATAAGGCTTTGCAAGCAATGAATGACAACAAAACTGAGCAATCTGCATGTAAGTTATACAGTGGTCAACTTTATATGTCCTGTGCATTTGTGTTGTAAGCATCAGCAGCTACACTATCCAGTGAGCACTGATCCACTAGCATGATCCCAACTAGTATGAATATTTCATTGATAATTATTCGGTATGTACATCTTTATATATTTTGTTCTACTGTGTAACTTACGTGCAGGTTGCTCAGTTTTGTTGTCATTCATTGCTTGCAGTGCCTTATATTCCATTTCCAGCTGATGAAGACGTTACAGTGGTACCTCAGGTTACAGACGCTTCAGGTTACAGACTCCGCTAACCCAGAAATAGTACCTCAGGTTAAGAACTTTGCTTCAGGATCAGAACAGAAACCGCACAGTGGTGGCGCGGCAGCAGCGGGAGGCCCCATTAGCTAAAGTGGTACCTCAGGTTAAGAACGGACCTTCAGAACAAATTAAGTTCTTAACCCAAGGTACCACTGTATTCCGAAACAGTTGAACTATTCCGGATATACTGTCCTTTTGAAACTTTGGAAAGACGTCTTCCTTTGAGAGGAATTCCTCGCTATTCATTGATTTCTTTGATTCTTTGACTCTGATGCATATAACAACTTGTAGTTACTTATATATTTTGTGAGATGTGTTGTATAATATATACATCATTTTGAAGTGGCTTTTTCGTATATTTTGAATGACATCATAACCGATTACAGTGGTGCCCCGCAAGACGAATGCCTCGCAAGAATTTTTACTGTCTAGGGGTTGTAATCTGTTCTAAGTCCTAGGGATAAAAATTCAAATGAGGACTGTGTGCATACCATTGTGTCATGAATTTACATGTCTACATTCTGAGTAAGTTTAAGAGTTATACAAATCTATTGACCTCAGATTAATTAACCTTGCATGTTTTGGGCTTTCAGAAAACATGTTTTTTTCTGCTGACTATGTTTAGATACAGTAGTGCTGGGGAGGAAGAAATTAGAGGAGAATAAAGGTAAGGTATGGGGAAAGAGGTTAGATTTATTGTGCAGAGGACATGGGAAATAACTGGCTATGTCCTTTTTAAGAGTTATGTGTGCAGAACACCTGGTGCTAGGTGCCTCCCCAACCCCAGGCAAACTGCACACATTCTCCTCCATAAGGATCAGAAGCTTGTACTTGGTAAAATGCTGTGGGCCTCACCTTTCACATACACCTGCTACGGTTCACAAGTTACTGTCTTATATAGTCTACTCTGTGTAACTGGGAGCAGATAAAATTCTGGTTTGAACACTTGCGGTCTTAAATGGTACTGTTAGGCAAGCAGGCCCAGTCTCTCTGCTTGGATTGTAAACTGAGGATTCATTTTTAAGGAGTATCTGTATCTGACAGCTGAGAAATGTAGGAATGCTTGAGGCTGAATGTTTACACATTATCCCATCCAGCTATTTATTTTTCTCCATTACAGACTAGCAGGCCCTGATGGATGTTTCCAAAAGCCCTGAGCAAAACCCCCGCTCTCCCGACGAAAAAGAGGAGGAAGAGGACGAGGACCAGCTGCTGTCTGATGACGAAATCCTCAAAGAGAGCGGCTCAGAAGAGGATGGAGAGGACGGGCAGGGCACCACTTTGGGAGAAGGCAAGGAAGATGCTGACAGAATATTGAGTCAGGAGGAGGAGGAGGAGGACGAAGAAGAACAGAACCACTCAGGTGAAGAGGACTGCTTAAGTGAAACCAAGTCTCAGGACTCCGACAATAATGAGCAAAGCAGGGAGCTTAAGGGCTCTCTCTCTGTCAAGGAGGATGAGGAAGAACAGGCAAATGACTTGGGTGATGAAGCCTCCTCAGTCACTCGGGAACTAGACGAGCATGAACTGGACTATGATGAGGAGGTTCCCGAGGAGCCAAGCACCGTTGCTGCTGACGATGAGACTGACAAGGCTGGGGGAGAGGAAGAGGAAGAGGAGGAGGAAGAGAAGGTAAATGAACCACCTGAGGATGAGAAAAAATCTGGCACAAAGAGCGACGATGAAAGAGGTGGGCAGGAGCCTGTCAAAGAGAAGAAGAAAGAGGAAGACGGAGAAATTGATGATGGCGAGATTGATGTAAGTTCACCTCCTTCCCAGAATTTCAGGTTTTGCCCCCAGCCAGTGTCCCTGGAAACCAGGGTGGGTTTAGACAGCACTCCGCCTCCCACTTCTGTTTCCTAGACCTCCTGCATATGCAAAAGGACCTCTTGTGGGCTGTTTTCATAGGTACATTTTCAGCTAGTGGAATCCTAACATGCATCTCACAGCACTATCATCATTGGAAACTTCAGATGCCAGTCAATCTCATATCAGGCCATTCTTTCTAAGCTACCTCATTCAGAAAAAGAAAACCTAGGAGCAAAGAGATGGAGAAGCAACTAGACAGAGCCCATGATCATCTTTTGCAGAATCTTGGGAGGGAATGTAGTGTTGAGTTTCTTCCCCGCATTTTCAGTGTATGCAGAGCTGCAGTAGCAGTAGGGGAGTTTCCCCTTTACTTTAGTTCATTCTCCTCCTGGTTTTCGGAAATAGTAAGGGACTGACCACCACTTTGAGTTGGAGCACATGCTTGGTATGTAGGAAGTGTCAAGTTTGTCCCTTGCATATCTCCAGTTAGAAGACAGACAGGCTAGGAAAGGCTTCCTTTTGCTTGTGGTCTTAGGGAAGAACCCTTAGCCAGAGTATCTCCTCCTGGGCTAGATGGACCAGTGGTGTAACTCAGAATAAGGCAGCTTCATGTGTTAACAGGATACCTAGGTTTGCATCTCCATGTAGTCTAGTGAGGCTGTCAGCTCCAGTGAATATCATTTGACAGTTTCCTATCTGCTTATTGGTGGCAGGAAACTTGAATGCGGACTGTCTGAAGCATACACATAGCCTGTGCCTATTCATGTAAGCTTGGCGTTTCTGCATTATCAGTTTCCTTAAAACCTACCTGCTTTTGGAAATGGATGCCAGTCAGTCTCTTAAAAGAGAGCATAGCAGAGGCATTACTCATCCTGGAAGGGTTCTTTTTAAAATCCACTACTGAGGTTCTCTCTGATAAATGCAATACAAGGCCTGCTCTTTCATGCTATCCATATGAACATGGAAAGCTGCCATATACCAAGTCAGCTATTTTGACTTTAGGCCCAGAGCCCTTTGCCATCCCTGCTGTCTGAGAATTTTTTAGGCTAGGGTCCCCAACATGGTACCCTGCAGGTGTTGCAAGCAACAACTCCCATCAGCCCAGCCAGCATGGTGACTGGCTAAACGCTGGAAAACTTTATAAGGGGTTACAATAGATTACTGGTAGCACAAAGTGTGGCTTTTAGCTTTTGTGTTAAAATTGACACTCAAAGGAAGAGTCCTATGTGGCATTTCAAAGAAAAAAAACCATTTCAGTTTGGTACCCTTTTCTTATGTATGTTAATGACAAAATCACAATCGACAGCCTCCTTCCCATTATGCCAGAATCTGGAATGCATGATCTCTTTTTTAACAGTCCTCTGTCTTGGCTCGCTTTATGTGACTGTGTAAAATTGCCAACTAGTCTTTTCCATCCCTCAAACCATACGGGTAAATGTATTGCAAGGTATGTGATGACTCTGAATGTTTATGGCATTTATGTAACATCCTCTACTTGCTTGTAGTGCAGGACCAGTTCCCTGCATTTCAGTTCACCTACAGGTAGGTGCTTGTATAACTGCTTCCATTGAGAGTGGTGGGGCCATGGAGGGTATGTTCTCTTTCCGTCAATTCTAAAGTGGGACAGAGTCAAATAACATATTTGTTAGCATTGTAATAAGGATGATAACAAGGTGTGATGAATAGGGCTAGGTGATAACTGGTTTTCAACACTGCGATATATCACCAGCTAAACATCCCGATATAACAATGTGTGGAATAAGGATGGAATTATGTAGAAGTGAACATCAGGACTGAGCGATAACTGGCTTTAAACATTGTGATATATCACAGCTAAACATTGCAATATACCAATATATCACAATGTCTGAAATAAGGATGGAGCTATGTAGAGGCATTGGCTGGCTTCACAGTTTCCCCTACATCATGATTTTTGCCCATTCCTGCTCTTGTGATTCTCTGCCTCCTGCAGGAGGCAGGGAAGCACAAAGCTGGCAGAGTTAACAGGGACTGCAGGAATTGAAAGAGGCATTGGCTGGCTTCACGGTTTTTCCCATATTGTGATTTTTGCATAGTGCCACATACACACACACCATGATTCGTGATGTATTGCCAGGTCAAAAATAATGAAACCAATATCACTATATGGACTTCAAACCAGTTTTGGACAATATATTGATATATCTATCACCCAGCCCTAGTGGTGAATTACTTTGTATTTATTATTTATTTATAAAACTGAATAAAATGATTAAATAAGAAACAGAAAAGCTCATCCAGCATGGCCAATGATTGAAGCTGGCATCTTTTGCATGCAGAGTATGTAGCCCACCACTGAAGTAACTTCTCCTGCCTTCCCCACCCCCACCCCCCCAAAAAAGATACCAGGGACACAGCTTCTGGCCTTCTGCATCTAATGCATATACTGTACTGCTGAGCTCTGGCCCCTCATTTGGTTAAAAGCAATCTTGCTTTTACTGTCTGACTTTTCCGAGTTATTAGTTTTGAAGACTGTCATAAAGAGCACCCAGCTTTCTCTCTCCACATGTTGTGCTGTGGTTTGGCTTTTCATTTCTATGACTATGTAAGAGCTGTACCACATTGTAATTCTGCACTGTTCTTCCTGAAACGGGGAGAGTTGGATTTTGTGGCAATGAACAGTGAAATGGTTTTATTTGCTCTCTTTAAGAGCTGCTTGTAAACAGATTGCCTTTGAACTTAATAGGGTGGAACCTCATCTGCATACCTGGCATCCTGCAGATCTATGAATAGGAGAAACCCAGAAATAAAATAAAGCACTTTTAATGTTCTGTGCCCAAGTGGGAGGCAGGAAGCGAGGGTGGGGAGATAAAAAAAAAATCTGTTCCAGGTTAATTTATCATTCACCAAAGTTACCTTGTGCAAATCAAAAAGTGTCTGTACACTTGCTTTAAATCTTACAAGATTTGCTTGGAGCCCAGCTCTTGAATCTGCCATATTTTGGCAATTTTGCAATTGGAGGAAAGGGATAGATAGCTGAGAAGAGATAGAGCTGTATGTTTAATAGTGGAAGATAACTGGCAGGTGAGAGTACTCTGTAACACAGAGAAGCCCTACCCTTGCCATGCTGAAAGTTTACAAATGTTTGACTTTTCTTAAGAGCCAAGACGTAGCAGAGAAAGGAGGAAGAGAATGACAGACTCCGTTGGACCTGTTATGGCTGGTGGAACGTGGCTCACCGTCCACCTGTTCAGGAGCAGGGGGATAGAAAGTGTTTGGCTTCACCTGTCTCCCAATGTGCAACTACTTGATTGAAGGGTAGCAAAGCAAATACTCTATTATTGGCAGCATTGCTGCTGTAGCGGCATCTGCCTTTTACATACCTGTCTCTTTATGTCTTTCAGGATGACGATCTGGAAGAGGGAGAGGTAAAAGACCCAAATGACAGGAAAGTGAGGCCGCGTCTCACCTGTCGATTTTTCATGAAAGGTAGGAGCCATGCCCAAGTGCTCCCTCTCTCCTGGAGCTTGCAGAGGCAGCTGTCAGGACTTACTGCCTCTGCCATCCTGCCTCCCAAGACTTGTGGCTTCTGAACATAGTGCATTATCCAGGATTATTTCTGTATGTTATCGAGTCACATCAGATCAAACGCTCTCAAATGTTGTCACAGCAAGCATCACAAAAGGCCTTTGTAAGAGGGAATCCTTTGGGATCAGACCCTGGCAGGGCCACTTGGTATGTTTGTAGCAGTGACCACTCAGATATTTGGGGTAGCCAGAAGCTGAGCACAAGGAAGGAACCCACATCTATGGTCTTTGGTATTCCAATACATCCTGAATTTGAATATGAACACTCCATTCAGTAATTACGACTCAGAAGCCATTTTTTATTACCTGGATCTCAAGTCCCACCATCATGGCTAGAGTGGGTGGCAGTCAGATTTTCCATGGCCTTTTAAAATATATGTTTAATTGGTTGGCTTTAATGCTGTTTGACAATAAAAGCAAGGACATTAAAAATGCATGTCATTTCCGGTCTTAAATAGAAACTAAAGAAATCCTATGTGTTTTACTTGATTAATTAGTTAATTAAATTGGAACCTGGATAAATATATTTCTGAAGTAAGAAGCAGACTTGCTTTGTTTTTAGATGGTGGAGAGAGATGCTTGTGTTGAGGTAGGGATCCTTGTAAAAGAGACATTTATTTTACATACAAAAGACTTTCAAGATGGTACTTTACATCCGTAATTTTTATAAGTACTTTGTGCTAAAAAATGTTTCATTAAAATGTTTAGTTAATTAAAAATGCCTTTGCAATTAATCAGTGGCACATTTTAAGTTGCTCGGAAGGTTTTTAATTGATTGAACAATTCTGAGATAACTTGTTTAAGCTAACCACCTTCCAGGTTCAGAGGTGGGATTAGATGGACACTTATATGGGAATGGAAGGCTTCACTTGAGCTTCTCTTAGCACTTGGGTCAAGGATACAACTCTCTCTCTGAGCTCTGCTAGGTTTTCATAAAAGCTGTTCACCAAAGTTCTCTAAGGACCTGGGCAATTCATAAAGAAGCAGCAACCAAGAAATGAAATGTAAAGCATCAGCAGTGCATTTCTCCTTTGATGAATGCTCTGCCTTCTTTTTTCTTTTTCTTTTTCAAGTGATTTGAACATCTCTACAAAGATTTAAATATGTTCCAGTCACTTTTGTGTGTGTGTGTGTGTGTTTTTTACTGTTCCCGTGCATGGAGATTTCAAACCTTCTGTGTGCTTTTCCCCCCATAGGGCATTGTACTTGGGGTATGAACTGCCGGTTCATTCATCCTGGTGTAAATGACAAAGGAAACTACTCTTTGATCTCCAAGCCAGATCCTTTCTCTCCAAATGGTGCACCACCCATTGGCCCTGGGCCTCACCCTCTGATGCCAGCCAATCCTTGGGTACGGTAATATTACTTTTTGAATACATTACTTATTTAATACATAATTTAAAATGCCAAGAGGTTGACCAGGCTACACTGCATTGGAAGATATGCAAACACTGGAGCAAGTGAGGAGTATCAAGTTGGCATTTCAATGTTCTACACCTTTTCTTGTGTTTGTCTGTTGATGCTTGCAAAAACCGTGGGTGGGTGAGATGGGGACAGTGCTGTCCCTCTGGGTCATGTGCAAGCTTCAGTGCCTTTTTGTTTGGCCTATGGATTCTTATTTTAGAAAATCTCAGCTCTCGTGTTCCAAAAGCAGTGGTTCACTTAGCCCTATACTGTCAGCCCTGGTTGGATTAGCCAAAAACCCCACACCAACCAGCCTCTGGTGGCAAGGCCTCATTTTCAGCCCCATTATTTGAGATCACTTAGTTGTGCATGTAACATATTTCAGAGTGTAATGACCTCAAATTCTGACGCCACATGCATTGCCACTGAGCCACAACTTTAAAGCCACTTGCTTATAAGCATGGTCATAAGGGCATAAGAGTAGCCTGGCTGCTGGATCAGGCCAGAGGCCCAGCTGGTCCAACATCCTGTTTTCACAGTGGACAAGCAGAATCTCCAATGGGAAGCTCACAAGCATGATCTGAGTGTAGGAGTCCTCAGTTGTGTTACCTGGCAACTGCTGCTCAAGAAATACACTGCCTCCAACAGTGGAGGTTGCAAATAAAGTCATCTCTAAGCATGATGATTTATTTCCTAAAGCTGGGCTGGCTAACCTGTGGCCCTCCAGATGTTACTAGTCTAAAACTCCCTCCATCCCTGCCCACTGGCTATGCTTGCTGGGACTGATGAGAGTCCAACAACATCCAGAAGGCCACAGTTTCACCATCCCTGAAAACCCAGACGGGGGGGGGGGGCTAGCTTTATGTTTATAGTCGAATGTTGTTGATGTATCTGATTTTGAATGTTGGAATAAGTAGACTGCAAGACTGCATGGAGGTTGGGGGCTGCAGTCCTTCCTTATATTTTAAGATTGTTTTCCAGAAAGAAGCTTTATTAAAGGCCCCTTCACCTTTTCCAGATCATGCCTGTTTTTCCCTTGAAAACCCAATTTCCTTCATCAAAACTCTTCCATGCAAACAAATTTCATCGTTGTTAAGATTCTTGGAACACAACCTTCTGGCCAGATTTTATGGAAGATACACAACTCTCCTTGTGTTGAGAGAGTGCAGCTGCCATGTGAAGGAACATTCTCTTAATTTCGCTGAAATCCTAATGCAAACCAGTATGAGTAGTCAGTAAACATGCACATTTGGAGCAAGAAGCTCTCCTGAGTTATTTGTAAAGGCATACATTTTTCCTGTTATTAGCTTTCTAAGATGTTTCATTTTCATGTGCAAATACTGCCAATACTTAAAGGACTAAAGTTAAAACAAAAACCTTTTAAAGATTTCCCCTTTCCCTTGGTGAAGGCAGAGACTTTGAGATAAAGCATTCTCTAAGATAGGACAGTCCAATTTCTTATTATTCTTTAAAAATAAATATTTTTACGCCCTTGGGCAAATTCATTTAACTTCCCTGAACAGAACAGAATCAATGGGCCGGGAGAAAGGGAAAGCGGGCCTAATGAAAATGTGTGTCACCTCATTCTGGAACCATCCTCTTCTCTTTTCTTAAAAGGGAGCCCCTGTAGTTGATGAAATATTGCCACCTCCGCCTCCAGACCCTCCAGCAGAAAGTGCTTGGGAACGGGGACTCCGCCATGCGAAAGAGGTAAAGCAGCTGTCTGGGGACAAACAGGAAAAATACATATGAATGAAGAGCATGAAATAGGTTGCTGTTCACATGTATTCAGAATCTCCTCCAAATCAACACTTGGATAATTAGGAATGAGTAGACATTGGGATTGTCTGCTCATGCAGAAGAGGAGGAAACGGGAGGCTTCTGATGGTGACATTTCCCCCATTCAGACAAAAAGGGAAACTCTGCTCTGCTCTTTCTGGCGACTAGTGACCTAAAGTGTCTCACCTCTGGAGGAATAAAGAGAGCATGCAAGCTCAAGGCTCTCACTTGCTTGTTCTCTTTATGTTGGAATTGGTGCCCTAGAGATAGGCAATTGATCAGCCTTGCTAAGGAGTATCAGCTCTTGACTTGAGTCGCTCTTCACGTTATCCAGCAGTGATATATCTACACACACACAGCTCAGCTGCTTGAGGTTCTATGATGGAAGATTGCACCACTTTAAAGTTCACCCCTTTAGTGTTTGCATCTCATGCAAAACACGTGCTCCGCCAGTGAACAGTATATTGCCCTTTTTTATAGTAAGCAAATTGTTTCCTCTGTGACCATGCGCTGTGCAATCTTATCTCTATCTTAAATTTTGGGCAAGTTCCCTAGGAAACCCTCTTTAAATATTGAGTTGACCAACAAAACTGTCTGTTTTTCTTGAAAAGGCTGAGATTGCCACGCAGGTTACTCTTCAAAACACAAAAGCAAAAGCCACGTTCACTGTGACTTATGCATGACAGCACGTGATAGGCCACCAAGAGCCCGCATGGCTGAGTCAAGAGTTTTCCATACCCAGTTCCATTATTGTACTCAGGATAATGAGACTTATTTTTATACATATAAATGAAATTGGTAAGAGTGGACTGCTACAGCCTCTTTGTTTACTCAGGCCTTTATTTAATGAGAGTTGTCTCCTGCAGTGGTGCTCATCTTTTACTCAAGTAAAAATATTTAGTCTTTAGTATGGCTTAAAAAATTTCTGTTTTTAAATTGCTTTTATTTGTTGTACTTTACCTTGCTGTATCACCTTGAGACTTTTTATTTTGTATAAAGCAACTGATAAATGTAATAAATTATAATAGTAATAATCTGAATCTGTGGAGCCTGTTAATAGCAGCTAGCAACACAGTGAAGAAATAATAATAATAATAATAATAATAATGTTTGTTTGTTTGTTTTGCCCCACCCATCTGGCTGGGTTTCCCCATTCCAAGATGGTGCTTTTTAAAATCATCATTATTATCATCATCATCAAACAAACAGAAGGATACCAAGCATTCTTGGTTTATCAGTTCATATCCAAAATGCTTCATTTCCATCCTTGGTGATGTTTGTTGCAGTGAGTAGCTGTGAGAAAAGCAAGGCTAAAACAACTAATAAGGACCAAGCACATCTTTAAAATCCTGTTTCAGTGGCTACTTTTACTTTGAAGAAAACCTGTCCCAATCTGGAACGGGGTCTTGCACTTGTTTCCTTCCAAAATATATTCTTTACCCTGACCCTGGCTGCTCTCTGCCTCTGAAGGTGCTATTTGCAGTAAGCCAGTCCTTCCTGACCTGATGCCCTCTAGATCTTTTTCACTACAACTCCCATGTAATGCTGGCTGGGCTGATGGGACTTACAGTCTCTTAAAGCATCTGAAGGGCACCAGGGTTGGGAACGCTTCAGTAAATAGCAAAGGGCAGTGTTCTTTAGGAAATGAATAGTGCTCATTTCCAATTGGGAGATGGCAGCTGCTTTTATTCCAAAAGAATAAAAAGTGACAACTTATCAAAACAAAAGGAAACGGCTTAAGCTTTTGAAAAAGTGTGTTTGTTTAGCTCAGCCTTAGCATGTGGTCTGTGATTCTGTCATTATGATTCTAAAAAACAAACAAACACAGAGAATTAAATGTTACCTCAAAATTGTAATGTGGTTTAAAATATGATCTGCTATTTAAAAACAAAAAACAAAAACAAAACTAGGTTGTAGTTGATATTTGAAAAGATGAGAAATATATTGTTGGGATATTAGCACTTCTGCAGTGGGTCATTATGCCACAGAATGGGATTTATTGCCTCTGCTCTAGGACAGCCCTTGCCACCTGGTTTTTGACAGGTGTTTGGGGGCCAACCAGTTTGGGGCCGATACACACTGTAGTCCAAAACATCTGGAGGGCACCAGGCTGGCAAAGGCTGTTCTGGACGGACGACTCCTTACCTCTTGCCCGCTTAGGTGTTAAAGAAGGCCACAATGAGGAAGGAGCAGGAGCCCGACTTTGAGGAGAAACGGTTCACGGTGACCATCGGAGAGGACGAGCGCGAGTTTGACAAAGAGAATGAATTTTTCCGGGACTGGAACTATCGTATCACTCGGGATGTTCGGGACTCGACGTAAGACGCAATTGTCTAATTCTGTCTTGTGGCAGGAATGTGGACTTGAGCAGGCTGGCTTCTGTGGATCTGACTGCAGTCCTCCAGAGGGCAGTGTTGGCTTATCCAGCACTCCGTTGTGTTGTTCAGTAGCAACAGACACTTGCTCTCATCGCTTCAAGAGCCCTTCCTTGGTATTCAAGGGGGGCTCTTCTTCTCTGTGCAACACTCTTCTCCATATAGAGGGGCACAAGAGAAGTGTGATAGCTATATTTCTTTCCATCAATTGTCTTCTGTTTATAGCCCAACAGAAAACAGTCACACAAGTCTGCCTTTTCCTGGTGCGCTATGTTGCTAAGACAGTCATGACCTCCTGCTCTTGCCCCAATGCAATTCCCAGTATCATCCCAGCTTCATGCTTCTAATACTTAAAGGTGTTTTTTTTTAAACATTATTGTGTTGCAAGGTGGGCCCCATCATTTGCAAAAAGTAGGTCAAGCAGGCTTCTCTGGCGATCCAGCAGCCGTGAGTGGGCTGTTGTGTACGGATCACAGTCCTGGTTGGCATGACAGCTGATCCCAGCCTTCATGAGTCACCCCAATGGATCACTAGCTCACAAAGCTTAACCTACTTAGTACAGGCAGTGCACTGAGTAAAGGGAGCCTAGGTGGATAGAGAGACCTTCCATTTCTAGCATAATGAATGATGCCCTCCAGACAGGGAGATGTCTCTTCCCTGCTTCCTCAGTTGCATCACACACAAGTGCTAAATTTGGTATCATCAAATTTTAAATCAAGGTTCTGGTCCATATGGTTGTGAAAAGAAACTCGGAAACAGTTACTGTGAAACCTTGTTGAGCAGGGCTGCAAGTGGGTCAGGTTGGCTGTTGGGGGAGCTTTGGGGTTCAGTGTAAAATGAATTCTACAAAGATGCACCTTTTTCATCTTTTGTTCAGGATGCAGAATTCAGCTTTCCTTTGCACGTAGTTTTTAATAAATATCCCACAACACTGAAAACAGGCAGGTTTCCATTACAGAAAAGGGTTCTGACCCTATATTTTTGGACTGAAAGTTTTCTTTTTCTAAAACAGCATGGATATAATACCAGTCAAACTGAGTGCTTGCTGTTAGCTCATGTGCTCTTGAGGCAGGTAAAATTAGGATGTTAATTAATATACTTCCCCAGGGATGGGGAACCTTCAACCCACAGGTCTAATTAGGCCCACCAGGCCTTCTCATTTGGCCTTCCGGGCTGTTTTGGCCAAACCATATCCATATATGGCATCAGGTGAGAGGCAAGAAAATAAGTGGCTGGGCCAAAGGGGATTTGCAGGCACCACTAAGTAGCATTTTTTCAGTGAAGACAAAACAGCTCGCCTGACATCATTGTGCTATTGAGTGATTGACAGGGGATGCCCGCCCCCAGGTGTGAAGACCCACACAAAAAGAAAAAAATAGGAAAACCTCTTCTCCCCCCCCCATTTGAAAAAAGTGTTACATTAGGAAGTGTTATCTTTTGGAATGATGTGATGAATGTTTAAGATAAAGCATCTTTTTGCTGACCTTTGACAGCTGAGATGTGTGTTTTCAGGGTCCACCCTATTCCCATTATTATGATCTGTTTCAACTATTTTAAATTTTGATGCTTAAATTCTTGCAACCTTCCCTGGGACCCGCTGGTAATAAATTTTATGATGCCAGTGCTAAAACAGTTTTCAGTGCCTTTAGTTTCCCACTCAAAATGGGGAAAAAAAATAGGAAACTGTATGCAAGTGAGTCATCATGTCTTAAAATATTAGCAAATATTCCAACACAACGAAATTCCAAATAAAGATTTGAATTTAATCATTGAAGCCACATTTCAATATGTATTATTGATCCCCTCTCTCCAATCAGATAGTTTACTTTTAGCTAAAGGTGGAAGAAGAACCTTTGAGATTTATATAGCACATAAAATTAACACAAATATGCATCTTTGTCTATAGTTTTTGATTGCTAAATAGGTCAAATGTACTAAATCCAACCTCAGTTTAGAGCACTGAAAAAATTTCCAGTTCAAAATTTTCTAGAAGACTCGCATCACTGCCCTTCCCCTAAGAGTTATTTTTTTACAAAACAATTTTAACATGCATTGAGAATGGCTTGTGATGTGTGAAGATGGCTGAGAGCTTCATAAATCTCCTCTTTTTTCCCTCCTCCCCTCGGTTTCTTGAAAAACTCCAGTGAGGTGGACATCAAAGAGAACGCTAACTATGGGTAAGCAGTCCCTAATCTCTGTTGTGCTTACAGCTGGTCCATGTTGCTTTCATTTTGATCCCTTGCAATTCTTTGAAATTCTTCGGTCAATACCAGCTGCTGCGTAAGGCTTGGCTTCCAGTTGACCAAATCTTAACTTGGTGCATTCAGGTGTGGAGGCTTCCAGGTGCTGGCAGTGTCTCGTGAAAGTTTATAGTAACTGCAGCATTCCTAAATAATGAAATGCATATTGACATCTGGTCAGCGGAATGCATTTTCTGATGACATCCTCAGAAGGAAGGTCATCAAGTAAAACCACAGCCATGGTTGTGGTGAAGTCCCCTCTATGCCCCAATATCTTAATTTACCAAACTTGCAGAGGCTTCACCTCTTCTCCCTTGACCAGAGCCCTCACAGCTTTCTGAGCTTTCCGTGGTTGAGGAGGGCCCAGCTCCAGCTGCTATCTTACGATCTGATGCTAGGCATGCACACCTGTGCTTGTTTGTGTTGGGGGTTTTTTAAAGACACTGGGTAGATATAAACATGGTTGCTGTCATGCTTATTTATTTATTTATTAGCACACTGTGTGCTAAATGTGGCATAGGAGTCAGTTCTTTCTTTTAAGCAGTGATGGCTGGATATTGTTTTTCTGGCAACAACAATAGTTTTGTTTCATTTGAATGTTTAACCTCTCTTGATTCCTCTGCAGGCTTGACACTTATGCGGATCCTTATTATGATTATGATATAGAACGCTTCTGGCGAGGCGGGCAGTATGAGAACTTCAGGGTACAGTACACTGACCCAGATCCGTACCGGAACTACAGATTGAGTAAGGTAGGTAAATGCATCCTCTTCTCACGAGCTGAGCTTTTATTCTGCAGTAGGTTGATCCAGACAGTTTAGCCCAAGTCATTGACCCAGTTCCTGTGTTACCTGAGTGCCGTGTTCACAACTTTAGTGTGTGCATCTCGTGTTGTTCCAGTAACATTTAATAATAATAATAAATTTTTATTTGTACCCCGTCCTCCCCGGCCAGAGCCGGGCTCAGGGCTGCTAACATCATAAAACTAACACAGTATACAAAGAACATAAAAACAGGCAATCAGTTAATTAAAATACATCTTAAAATTGGTTCAGAGCAAATTAAAATCTGGACAGATGGCAGTCCATGGGTAAAATTGAGAGTGGTTAATATTCTCCAGGCCAGCTGTTACCACCAGTAACAGGACCTGTGAGCGGGCTAGGAGGCCTCTTTAATGCTTGTTCTTATACAGAAAGAAAAGAATCAGACTGAACCCCGACCAAAGCCCTGGCAGAACAGCTCCGTCTTGCAGGCCCTGCGGAAATATGTCAAATTCCGCAGGGCCCTGGTCTCTTGTGAGAGAGCATTCCACCAGGCCGGGGCCACGGCCAAAGAGGCCGTGGCTCTGGTCGAGGCCAGTCTAATCTCCCTGGGGCCTGGGATGTTCAGGGTGTTATTATTTGCAGACCTTAAGGTCCTCCATGGGGCATGCCAGGAGAGGCGGTCCCGTAGGTATGAGGGTCCTAGGCCGTATTGAGAATTGGAATCATCCGTCCTTGCTGCTGACATGGGGAGCAACCAGCTCATGGAAGCCTCTTGTGTGGTTTCTTGGTTTCATGCTGGGAGGGATACAACCACACTGCTCAAGTAACTCAAGAACTGGCCCTCCTTGCAGAGAGAAACCATTGGAATAAAGGTTATCTCAAGGATTCCATCACGGCATGTGTGGCTAGTTGGGGGTGGGGGGAATTAAATGCCATGTTAGATTCTTGAAGGAACAGCATATGAACATGTGGGTCAAAACTCCTAACGCAACTTAATCATTATTTTACAAGGAAAGGGAAAGAGAGAGGGAGAGGGAGAACAGGCAGCGCGAGCGAGAACGCGAGAGGGAGAGAGAGCGTGAACGGGAGCGGCGGCAGAGGGAACGGGAGCGCGAGAGAGAACGGGAGCGTGACAAGGAGCGCCAGAAAAGAAAAGAGGAATGGGAAAGAGAGAGGGAGCGCATCAAAAGAGACGAGAAGGACCGGCAGCACCGGGACCGAGAGCGGGAGAAGGAGAAGGAGAAGCCAAAACCACGATCGCCACAGCCACCAAGGTACAGGCTATACTTTTTTCATGCTGTTGATGATGTGGCAGGGAAGGGTGTGAGGAGGTTTAGTCCCTGCTGGCTGGCTGGCAACTCCGAGAAGCTGATATTTTACAACGGCATGAGACAGCATGTCGAGGGAAACTGTTTCTCATGTTGGTTTCGTTGGCTCTTTATATGGGAGAGCAAAGGAAATTGGGTGGCAAATGTATTCGCTCACATCAAACAGAAGCAAAAAGTGTTGTGTGTGTGATTCAGACATGTTCTTTGAAGATTTTGCACTGTAGAAAGTCCGGAATCTATGTAAGCAACGTGTTTTATGATGTGAAATCTGTCAGAATGGAGCCTCATGAGAGACTCCCTGCTCCATTTATTATTATTTTTAAAGTGAGCAGGTAGCCGTCTTGGCTTCTGCTTTCTTTCTCAGTAGCTTTGGTTTGGGTTCACAAGCAGCATCTGGTTTCTTACTGTCTATGTTTAAGCCTCTTTTTTTGCTCTTGGACTCCATGCATGAACTGGCACTTCTGTTTCTTTTATACGTTGATTGTTAATCACCTTAAACTACTAGAGAGGTAGTTTGGTGCTAACTGAGCTTCTCCCATCTGCTCTCCCATGTCTCCATTCCAAGGCTACTGGTCCTTTTTTCCAAGCTCTTAATAACCACTTAGCCCCATTAGTGATGTTAAATTCTCGAGAATAATCTTTTGGAGAATTAATGAGAATATTAGAGAGTTTTCATTTAAAACAGGAGAATATTCATTTTAATGCATTGAAAATGATATAATTTTAATGCATTGAAAATGATATAATTAGTTAATATACATGTTTATTCATGGGTAAACTTGTTCAGATGGCAACCAAAAACTGTACAGATACTTTTATTCAGTGGGGCAATGCAGTGAATTCATGTTCTTTGATTTAGTAAAGGAACCACAGTGAAAATATATAAGTACAAGCCCACTTGTCACTTGCAAGTGTCAAATTAAAAAGTAAAACATATTTTATAGTTAAAGTTAAACCATTCTAAGGTGATGGCAACAGTAATTGTCATGTTAAGGTTTGGTATAAGGAAACTCAGTAGTTAATTCATATATTATTCTTCCATTAGAATATGTACATGTTATAGGACAAGTCAAAAAATACAATTGGCATGTTAAGGTTTGATACAAGTAAATTCAGTAATAGGCTATCTTGTGCTTCCAATAGCTCTAACAATAACTGTTTTGGTGACTCAAAACACAGCTTGATAAACAAAACTACATATATGCAAACATATAAAAAAGAAGCCCTTAACATTAAATATATTATCATTATATGATAATATATTTCAGTATGTCAGTCTCTGGTAAATGGCACCTTGTACCATTGAATGGCACTGCAAAAACCAGTTACTGACACTAAATAAAAATATAGAAATGTCAGCTGTTTAAATCAAGGCCACCTCACATGCTGTTACACATAATTGTATAGGCCTAGGTACTTTAAGTGTATAAAGCATTAAAGCTACTTTCTGTTTAAAAAAAAAAAATCACACGGTATGGCAAGGGTATAGAATTGCTAAGAATAAGGTCACACCAAAATAGAAAAAAGGCTGTTATATATAGTTGAAATACATATGAATTCAAATGTTCATCAAATTAAATGAATAGCGTTTTTAAAACTAAAAAAAATGTTTTCTGTAGCTCACATTTCAGAACTGCCAGTGGTGAATGACACAATGCCCAGTAATGTAACTGGATAAAAAAAATCAGTATTCATTACTTACACTGGCAATATCACAGCTTGACTTATTTACTAGATTTTTTAAATGTGGGTTGTAAAACTGGTTCTTACATTAGAATTTACAGTTTGTGGAGAATATTCTCTGGAGAATTTTCTAGCAGAGAATATTCTCAAGAATATTCTCATTCTCCGGAGAATATTCTCATCTCACATCAGTAAGCCTCATTCTCCTTGCCTGTTCTACCCCCACTTCTTCCTCTTTCCACTCCAGTTCTTGGCAATAAACTACTACTACTACTACTACTACTACTAATAATAATAATAATAATTTATTATTTATACCCCGCCCATCTGGCTGGGCTTCCCAAGCCACATAGACCAGATTATGCAAAGTTAGTAACTTGCATAATTCTGTGTACAGAATTTGGGTTCCTTTTGGCACTGAGTTCAGTTAGGGGTTCATTTGGTGTGTATGCAGCCCTCAGCAGAATAAGGGGTGATGGGAGATAAGGCAAAGGGAAGTGCCTGCTCATCCAAAAGAAGGCACTCCTTGTATAGTGGCCTCTGGCTGAAGACCCAGTTTGGGGAACTTGTAACCCTCCAGATGTTATTGGACTCCCATCAGCACGACTCAGCATAGCAAATGATGGTCAGAGATTGGGGAGGGGGTCAAATCCAACAACATCGACAGATCCACATGTTTCTCACCCCTGCTGAAGATTTTATTTCTTAAACTTAGCCAGCGAGTATTTTTTTAGGAGTTCCCTCCCCCTTTCTGCAGTTCATTTACCTAACTTACAGTTGTTGGTTTTTTCCACGCTGGGCATGAGAATGGGGCCCAGGTCACAAAGCCTGCCTCCAACATATAACCTTTGTTCCCTAGAATTCTCAGCCTTGAGTCTACATGCCAGCTTCAGCTTGCCTTTCCTTGAGTCTTTAGTTAATATAGATAGCAAAATGCAGCCTTCCCCGACTCCCATCAGCCCCAGAATGCATGCCGCCATGCTGGCTGGGGCTGCTGGGAGTTGTAGTCCAAAACATCCGGAGGTTGGGGAAGGCTGGCATGATGTGTCCCAACTGCTTCTTCACGCTCATTATATAACTCACCCAGCTGATGAATAAGCAGGGTGAAGTAAGGGTGATGTAAGACCGAAATGTTCACAGGTTGCTAAAAGCCAGGTTTCCCCAGCTCACCAACACTGCTATAAAGAATGCAGACCAGGTTCCCTATTGCAAGAAGAATGCATTCTTTTCTCTCTGAAACATTCGGAGGCTCCTTTTCCACACTTGCCCTTAATTGGGCCAATGTCATCTCATTCTGTTTCCTTGTTATGGTTCAGCTGAATTTGGAGAGAGGTTTTGAGTGTTTTTTGAAGCACAATGATGATCAGTTTTATGGGTATCCGAGGGGTATATCCACCATGTCATTCTGGGTGGAAGCGGTTTAGGTGGCAGCATCTCAGTTGACAATATACAAGGGTTTTATTTATTATTTGTTTGTTTTATTACATTTATGTCCCCCCTTTTCTCCCAGAAGTTCAAGGTGGTGTCCCCAGTTCTCCCCCTCCTCCTTTAATCCCCACAATAACTCTCTGGGATAGGTTAGGCTTTGAGGCAGTGACTGGCCCATGGTCACCTAGTGAGTGGCGATTTGAACTCTGATCTTTCAGCTACTAGTCCAGCACTTTTAATTGCTACACCACACTTCCTACCTCCCTGTCAGCAAAACTACGTCAGTCACGTCTGCAAACCTATGATGAAGATTGCTGTATGGATAACAGAATTTTATTATGTATTTTTTCTGCTTTTATGATATTCTTCTTGACACAGTGTGATTCGATTTATATTTATTTTGTTGGTTTAGCCACTTCAATCAGCATATGACATCCTGTGTAACTATGATATGGTCAAAACAGCAAATTGCTTGCTTCCACATTTCCTTCTCCTTGGAAGTTGAGTTCTAATTATAGAAGTTCTTGAGTTCTAAATATAAATTTATAGCTTGAAAAGGGCAATAATTTGCAGGTCTGCTTAATACGTAGCACCTTTAGGAATTCTTCGTGTTTAACTAGTCGGCCTTTTCCTTGGCAGTGGGGAGTGACTTCACATTAATTGGGTTTATTTATAGACTCCTGTGCTTTCCCTAATCATTAAATCCTAGCTCAGCTCTTGGCAACTTCAGCCTCTTGCGTAGTTTTGGGCTGACGCTGTCCAAATTGCTCATGTGCCTTTGGTGAGGCTTCCAAGTCTGAAAAGCCTCATGCTGGTGGCAGCTTCCAGATAACAAATGTTTCTGTATAACAGAGACTTTGGTCTTGAACTAACATTCCTTGTGGGATGTCTTAAAATCGCAAGAGCAGAACAAAAAGTGGTTGCATAGGCCTGGTGTTTAAAAAAAATAAATGCCTTCCAAAAATGCATTTTAACCAGTTAAATATATATTTGATGTTTTTATAACTGGAATAAAGGAAGTCATATGTGGTCCTTTCTGAGTGGTGCCAGCCAACAAAAGGGAGCCTTTTCACTTGTGCAGCTATTGCTTCAAGGCCCCCCCCCCCGCTACCGCCAGGGGGCTCTCCCAGTCCGTGGGGAAAGGAAGGGACATACCATCTGGGAGGAGCTATAAGCTCAGTATATCTGGGCTAGGTGGACCGTATGATCTGAACTCTCATAACAAATGTAGCCTGAAGCAAGCGTCTTGTTATAAAGCACTTTTCACTCGTAGCAGAACTCCTAGCTGTGTAGATATCATAGATACTAATTTCTTATATTTGTTTCTTCCTCTGGCAAAGGGCCTACTTGCTCTGTTTTCTCTCTTGCACATTCTGGGCTGGGGAATGGGGCTTGTTTCAACTCCTCTCAAGCATGCTGGAGAAGGGCGTAACTCAGTGGTAGAGCATCTACCTTGAATGCAGAAAGTCCCTGGCATCTCTACGCAGGGCTGCAAGAGGTTCCCTGTCTGTGTAGACAATACTGGACTAGAAGGGTCAGTGGGTCTGTTTCTATCTAAGGCAGCTTCCTATGTTCCTGTGCTGCTCACTGCTGCCGCCTTATGCAAGTCACTATACCTGAGCCTAACCCACCTAGGATAGCTGTGAATATAATGCCAAATCCTTTCCCCCACCCCTTTCCCTGGAGGAAGAGTAAGATACTAATGTGATAAGTAACAGGACTTTTCCTGCTCCTTTTGCCTTTTGTATCTGGTTCCAAAAACTGAACTTGAGAACAAGTTGATGCCCGTAAATATTGTATTGCGATGTGACTGTTTCACCATGCAAAGGGTATTGCTTCTTGGTATTGTTCACGCTCGCTGTGATTTCATCTAAATGGATTCTAACCTGGCCCCTGAGGGAATTCTTTCCCTCCCTAACACCAAATAGGAACCCGTGAAATGGAGTTGGCAAGAGCAGCAGCAGCAGGAGGAGGAGTTAAAAGCGTAAATGAACATTTCTCACTCAGTCAATGGGAAAGTTGCCAACTTATTAAGGTGACTCAGGCTAAAGAAAGTTAAAAACAAAACAGCCCACCAGTATTTGCTATTCAATTCAAATTGAATCCAGTAGGGAAGAGAATTCTGTTCTGGTCAGATGATGGTTTATTTGAAGATAATCTAAACTAAATCAAGGATTCTTCAAAACTGACCAGAAACCCATTTAGACACACACACACACACACACACACACACACACACACTTTAGGTTAGCAATGGGGCAAATGAGCCAAACAATAAATTGCCACCTGTTCTTATGTATTCCAGAGGGTTAGCCACAATAGCCTGTTGCCATAAAACAACAGTCTCCCCAAGGAGGGATGGGGAGCCTGCAGCTCTCCAGATGTTGTTGGACTACAGGTTCCATCATCCTTGACCATAGGCCCTGCTGACTGGGGATGTTGGCATCCTACAGCATCTGGAGGGCTGCAGGTTCCCCTATCCCTGTGCTGAGGACTAAGTTTATTGTGGTTTAAGCGCTTGCTGTCCGATGCAAGATGTAGTCATCTGAGTGGGTAGATGTATATGCTGTAAGGGCAGGAGGAAGCAGGAGTGGAGAGAATGTTTTCTGCCAGCAGGCAAAGTAGTAAGACAGAGAACTTCGCAGAGTATGGATGAAAAACGACAACCACATCAAAAGGCTAATAGACCCAGTCAGTGGGTGTGGCCCACTCCAAGCTGGTGACAAACTATCTGCGCAGGATGAATAAACACCCAGCAAGGGACAATTACTTTCTGTAGTGTTCAAGCCACGCCCAGTTGAGCCGCAGTCTGATAGTGTCAAATTTGCAAATGGATTCCAGCTCAGCCTCTTGACGCTCCCTTCAGAAACATTCCAAGTGTGGCAGCTTTGAAGTTGGTTGCAAAATGTCCAAGAAAATCTAAATGCTTAGTCACATTTGCTGCCTTTGATGGTCCAGTTTTCTTCCTTGCAATGATGCTAAGAAATATCCCTAACCTACCGGAAATATGAGGCTATAGTGAGTAACCGTCTTTTTCTTCATATATTGCACAAGGGTTGCAGCTGACTCTGAATAACTGCTTGAAATCCCATTTGAGCTGTTCAAGGTTCTGAGCCCAAAGAATCCAGGTTTTGGGAAGTATATGCAAATATACTCATTTGCATAAAGCAGCATAATGTGTGCACTGCTGCGCCTTCTCCCTCCCCTCCAAAAAATAATAATGTTGGTTTCCTAGTCCCCAGAGCAAGTAGCAGGATGAAAATGCAGCACAATATCTAACTCAAAAATCATGCTAAATAGAATGTATATGAAAACCTCATTCTCAATTAAAAGCTTTTAATTATGGCTACGCTGTCAGTATAAATCAAAGGATGAAAGTACAACTTGGAGTATTAGCCATGACGCACCCAAACATTGAGCAAGTCTGAGATTAATCTAAAGATTTTACATGATGCCTCTGTATATAGGATAATATTTAAGAGTTGAATCTACTCAGAGTAGACCCATTGAAACAAATGGGCATGATTAACAGGTTCCTTGATTTCAGTAGAACTTAGTTGGAGTCTAGTGTTTGCCCTTTTCTTCTTTCCCCATAAGTACCGGTACTGTGAGGTTGGGAATACCGTAAGTGGGGAGAGCACTGCTTTTGCACTCAGGTCCTGCTTTCTGGCTTCCCAATAGGGCATCTGGTTGGCCACCGTAATAACAGAATGTTGGACTAGATGGGCCATTGTCCTGTGTCTCTTCCATCCTCATGATTATCACATGAGCTACAGGCACATATGCAGAGTTCTCTTAATTGCTGGAGCTTCCCCACTCATTTCATGAGAAGGTCCATACAGCAACACATCTTCCTCTACCACCTGTCATTGCAATATTTCACCAAGCTTTAGATCAGCGATTTCCACCAAGAAGAAGAGTTTGGATTTCATATCCTGCTTTATCACTACCCTAAGGAGTCTCAAAGCAGCTAACATTCTCCTTTCCCTTCCTCCCCCACAACAAACACTCTGTGAGGTGAGTGAGGCTGAGAGACTTCAGAGAAGTGTGACTAGCCCAAGGTCACCCAGCAGCTGCATGTGGAGGAGCAGGAAATCGAACCCGGTTCACCAGATTACGATTCCACTGCTCTTAACCACTACACCACCTCTTACAGTTTCAAGAGGGACACTTTGTGCCATGATTCCAAGATCCATGCAGGGGGTCTGCTTTGGACTCCCATTTTCAGACAGGAGTCCATCATGCTGCACGTGGACAAGCTGTTTTTGAATGCAAGGAGCATGTCAAAAGCCATTCATAAAGCAGCAGGAAAGAAATAATAGAAAAGGAACCTTTTAGATTGACAGCTCCGATATTGCAATAAGTCAATGTGAAGAATTAAGTTGGAGCTATAATGATAGTAGAATTATTTGCCCTTGTGAGTAAATTAGTTAGGGTTGGCACCCAGTTCAGTTTACCAGTCAAATGTTGTCAGCTGGTCAGTGAAACAATGATACTGTTGATGCTTCCGACTTGGCCAGCAATCTGCTTGGCACAACCACCTTTAAAAGCTGGTTCTTTGCTTTATTTCTTTTGGATTCTTTGGGTTCAGTTGTTGTTGGTTTTTTAATGTAACTGTAGACAGACCCTGATGTTCCTGAATGAAACCAGAGAGAATCGTCCAGTGAATTGTTCACATTTTTAGGAATAGTAATGTGTTTTTGTAATCATCACAACCATCAAACTTCTGAAACTTGTTCAGGCTGCAGTCCTATATGCACATACCTTGGAATAAGTCACTGAACTTGGTAGGACTTCCTTCTAAGTAGATGTGAAATTTTTGTCATTCAAATAGGCATGTGTTTCTGTTCAACTTAACCTGCTGTATCTGGTGGCAGTTGAGTAACCACTTCCAGGCCTTTTCATTTCCTCTTTTCAATCCTGGGAAATTTACAGTGATGTCAGAGTGACACCTTTCTTTTAAAAAAATGTATTTTGTTTTTGGGTTTGTTTTTTTTAAAAAAAGCTTCCTTGCTAGATGGACTTTCAGAGTTGCAATGATGTCACTGATGCTCTTTAATGGCCAATTGGTCATTGAGTTTTCCTGCTTGATATGATTGGATCATCAGTGAAAAATGCTTGCTTATGTCATGTATAGAAGAAGGGGAAGTAAGGGGGAAAAGTTAACTTTCTCTGAGCAGAAGATAATTCAGGCTGCATAACAAGGTTGCATGATCATTTCCATTAAACATTCCAAGGGATTTTTTTTACCCCCCTCGAATTCAATGCCCTGGCAGAGTTCCACATTTAATCTTCTTGATTTCCTCCTAAAACGAAACAACCTGTCTAAACAAAGCAGAGAATGATTTGTTTGCAGCAAATTTCCACAGCAAGTGGTGTGTTGAATTATGCTGTGATTTCCCTTCTAACGGGAACTTGGCGTGGCTAAACAAATTTCCTAGCAAGCAGAGACCAAGCCCCAAAAACTAGTGCCCAGACTGAGTATTTCTGATGTTTTTTTTCCTGCAATGAACCACCAGCTATTTCAGACTTTACATTTCTGGGTGACGCTCTAGGAAGCACTGGGCCCTGGGGCAGGTATGCATTGCCTCTTGACTTTTGTTAGAATCATAAGAATTCCTGCAAGAAAAACAACAACACAGAAAGCCCAGTACAAAGAAGCCTGGGTTTCCTCACAATAAGCAAGAGCTAAGGTAGAGGAAGATGGGAAGATACTGTTGAGATTGTTGCTAGGGCCAGGAAGATAAAGAAAAGAAGAAATCAATGGAAGCCACTCGAAAACGACCAATATTCTATAGAAAGCAATTAGGTCCAGATTCAACATTCCCTGACCACTAGTGCAAGAATGAAAATAAAGGTTGAGCAGTATGAAATGCAGCGCAACAGTTGCGCTAGCAGCACCTTGTTGCGCAGCAGGAAGTATCGGGACCCCTGCAGTCCGTTGCGCAACTGGCCACAAGAGCCATTACTAGTTTCTGGCACCTTCTCTTGTTCAAGTCATTCTGCTAGCACAACTGGCAACACTGCTAAGCAACTGCAATTCCAGTCCCCTTCTGTTTTGCAAGCCCTTCTAGGATGCCGCACACATGCTTTCAGGGTTTCCTTAGCTTCAGTGAGGGCGGGAATCTTGATATTTGTAACTGGAATCTGGGGATTGCATGATACCGGTTTTGAAACTGCACCCTGGGATCTGGACGTGCAGGTGACACAGCATGTGTAGCACCCATGATTGCAAAGATGATACTGGCTAGGGCAGAAAGTCTGAAAATCTGAGCTTGGGATTGTTTAATTGTAGAAGCTATGTGGGGAAGTACCAAACTTCATAGAGTTTAGTATCATTATCTCTTGATTGCCATTTATGCTTACTTCCTCCTCTCCCCATGCCCTCACCTTGGGTTGCTCAATCTTCAGCAGGCAAAGTCCAAATCCCCTGACCAGGTGACAATCATTTCCTTTTAAAAAATATTTATTTATACTTTTCAGATACATACATTTCACTGATTTTACATTCATTTTGATATTTTAAAGCTTGACTTCCTTCCCCCTCTTTCTGCGGTTCCTTAGTTTTTGTATCCATTCTTCCTTTGATGGGACTTCTTCTTTCCATTTTTGGGCATGTAACATTCTTGCCACTGTAGTCATGTACATGAATAAATTTCTATACAATTTAGGTAGTTCTATCCCTATAATTCCCAGAAGAAAGGCTTCTGGTCTTTTTACAAACATTATTTTAAACATCCTTTTCATTACATTGTATATAATTTCCCAGTAAGCCTTAACCTTACTACAAGACCACCACATATGATAAAAAGAATCTTCTTTCTCTTTACATTTCCAACACTTATTTGATTTAGTTTTATACATTTATGCCAGTTTACTTGGTGTTAGATACCATCAATATACTATTTTCATATAATTTTCTCTTAAACTATAGCATGCTGTAAATTTTATATCCGTATTCCACAATGATTCCCACAACCACCACCCCACCCAACTTAAGTAAGTAAGTAAGTAAGTAAACAATAAAGTGATATGACCTGTTGATTTCCTCTGAAAAGCTCAAGTAATAAAAAGCACCCTGGATAAGTGTAATACGTTTTGTTCTGCATTTTGTGCTTTTGTGTTGTCATCTTCACCTCCAAATGCCTTTGCAGGAAACTTTTTAATATTCTAGAACAGTGATTCTAAAACCTTTGCTCCCACTGTCCACTTGACAATTGCTGAGGGTCTTGGCAGACCATTTAATGATTTTTCTGCCTGTTCTGTGCTGTTTGCTTTTTAATTGCTCCCCCCCGCCTTATATGTTATTTTACAATTTGAATTCCATAGAATTTGCTTCCATAGAATTCAAATTGTCATATAATAAAATGCAATCCAATGAATAAAAGAAGCAATAAAAACACACTTTTAAGTCCACATGAGTATTTAATGCAATGGACGTGCCATCTCCTATCTTCCCCCATGAATCCACAGACATGCCATGGACCATAGTTTGGCATCCCCAATGTCTAGAGCCTGTGCCTGCCACTGCTGGGTCTGATACCACTGAGGTGGTAGATCACTGGCGGAAAAGTGCTGCTGCCATAGCTCTGAGAAATGAGAGTGGATTGGGCCACCCTGTACAGAGCTACTCTACATCACCACTACTGCTGCCCTGAATCTCCTATCTCTGCAACAAGTGGACTGCCTGTTCAGAGCGGGCAGGGCGGGGCAGTTGGGACACCCCTGTATCCTTTGTTCCAGCTAAAGGACTGGTTGCACCCCTGCATTGTCAATTGGAGAGATTCTAGTTTGAATCTATAGTTCAGGGGTAACCAACACAGTCCCTTGCAGGCGTTTCTTGGCACCAGCTATCTCGGACCGTTGGCCATGTCCACTGAGGCTGATGGGAATTGTAGTCCAAAACACCTTGTGGTCTCTTCGTTGGCTATCCCTACCCTAGTTACTTTGCTGGGTCAACCACTACAATGCTGTTTACATGGGGCTGCCTTTAAAAATTGTTTATTTATATTTATTTTAATATATATGTAGGCTGCTTTTCTGAGTACAACCCATCCATGGTAGCTTGCATTGTTAATCATTGTTACAATTGGTTGTAAATTTGTTTCCAGGCTCAGTTTAAAGAACTGGTATTAAACTGGTTCTAGACTTTATGGCTTTAAAGGCTACCTTAAGGATTGCCTTTGTACATCTGAAGCTGCCCAACCTTTAAACTCCAACTCACCTGACATCACTTGGTCAGGTACAATAGATGGGCCTTTCTTCGTAATTGCACCCAAACTATGGACTGCAACTCCCAATGGAGATCTTTCAGGATGCCTATTGAGGGTGTTTCTATATCAACAGGCTTTCAGTATTTTAATTACCATACTTTTCTGTGTATAAGACTATTTTTTTTACTCTAAAATAATGTTCAAAATCTGGGCTCGTCTTATACACGGATAGTATCTCCCCCCATTTTCTTAAATCGGAATCCTCCAAAATAGGGGGCGTCTTATAGATGGAAACATATGGTACTTTTAAGGCATTGATGTTTTTTGTGGGGGGTTTTAAATATTGGCTGCTTTTATGTTTTATTGTTTTTACTGTTATATGAATTGCTTTTAGTTTTTAGCAGTGTCTTTGTGACTTTTGTTTGTACGCTGATTTGCTGATTTGATTTTCAGAAGCACTAGTTATAAAATAGGTGCAGTTTGGCCCTTGTATATAGCCATGTTTTGCATTTGGTTGCATCCCAAGAACTGGGGGTGGGGACCCAGGTCATTGGATGGCCCAAGAAAGAACCTTCTCTCCAGCTAACTACATTTTTATTCATTTTCCAGCCGCCAACCTGAGCCACCAAAGAAGGAGAAAGAGGCAACTACGACCACCCCTTCTCAGTCCAAGAGAGCAGATGAGTGGAAGGACCCTTGGCGCCGATCAAAATCCCCCAAAAAGAAGCATGGGCTGTCTGCTTCACCCAGCCGTGCCCGCAGGCGCCGGAAAACCTCTGCCTCTTCAGCCTCCGGCTCAGGTTCATCAAGGTGTGAACCCGAGATGGGTAGCAATTGATGCAAGGGGATTTCTTATAATCAGCATCACTCCAGATGGCTCCCAGGACTCAGTCCTAGCAGAAAGAGCAATGCTGCTGGTGGGAGGAGCATGTGAGCCAGAGACAAAGAGAATAGGCTGTGTGGCCAGGGGATTCTGTTGTGAATAAGCATCCAGCCCTTTCTTGGATGCACTAGGGCAGATTGCTCTGGTGTTGGTTAATGGAAAGAGAGCTTAAATCAATACTGTGACCTGTTGAGACTGAATGGCAGAGAGTGACAGCCTGTGCCCCTGGAAAGGTAGCCTCTAAAGGCAGGCTACAGCAGAGTAGGACGCAGACAATTTGTGACCCCATGTGAACCTACTAGAATCTTGGGGAGATTTTGAAATAAGGGAGCTTCTTAAAACAAGTAGAACTGAAAATAAGAATTCATACAAATAATGTTCCAGTTGCCAAAATGCTGTTCCCTCATATGTACACATACCTTTTATTCCCTTTCAGGTCATCTTCTCGCTCCTCCTCCTATTCTGGATCTGGTTCTTCACGGTCACGGTCCAGATCTTCCTCATACAGCTCCTACTCTAGTCGCTCTTCCAGGCACAGCTCCTTCTCAGGCAGTCGATCCAGGTACTGTTTCTCCAGATGTGTTAGCTGGCAGGTTCTTGGGCTCCCATAGTGAGCCTCCCTGAGTAAAGACAGGTTCTTTTAGGTGAGTCTGGGCAGTACCCTATGGAAAGCTCAGGACAGCCACTTGATGTCAGTTTTAAGGTGTCGCTGGAAATCCTGGAAGTGGAATCCAGGACACAGACTAAGTTCAGAATTCAGGGAGCTTAGCTGGTCACTAAGGCACAGCTGCATGATTGCTGCCTAGAAGTAGTTTTACTACAATTTATATCCTTTATTTTAATGCTCCTCCTTTTAAAAATTAAAATACCTAAAATGCTCATCTAGATTGCTATTTTTTCTTCAAAATAAATCATACCTTAGTCATTAATTCATTGCATCTTTGAGAGCACTTTACATATTAATATTGCATTCCATATTTTTCAGGCCCATTTGCCCACTGCTGCTTGCTTATTGCATTTTTTCCTATTGCAAGGAGCATTCTTGCACCTGCAAATAAAATGCTCACCAGTATTCCGCTCTATTCTCTTCACACAATTTCTCATATCAGCCTAATGGTATCTGGAGGGCACCAGGTCGCAGAAGGCTGACATGGGATTTCTTGAAATTTGGACCCCATTTCCATGCTCACAAACTCACAGGTGTGGCCTGCTGACTTATGCAGAATTTACGCACGAGTAAGTGTGTTTATGGTTGTGACCCTGCAATGGCATTTCAAATAGACACAGTCGCCACTGTCACATGCACTGGAAAGAGGCAGTTTCCTAGATGTTTGGGTTGGCTGCTGCTGCTGCTGCTGCTGCTACTGAAAAGTTATGAAATGGTGATGAAATATCCAGGTACAACATGTTTACAATCATCTGTTATCAGAAGAGAAAAAGTTGTGTAAACAAATGGTGGCAATCTTGTGACCCGTGGAGATGATTTTCTCTTCCAGATCAGCAGAGGAGTGGGGGGGGGGGGAGAGAGAAAGAGAGAGATCTGGATGACTATCCAATAATTCTGTGATGCCTTCAGCCCCTGACCAGTCGGGGAGCTGCTGTTTCTCCACTTTCTGGAGGTTGCCTGCTTGGGAGGGTTCCTTTTCCCAGTCCATGTTCTAGCTTCCTCTCTACCAGGAGATGTGACCGTTGGCTTAAAATGGTGGGGTACAGAACCGTTTCTGAGCTACTTGGACCCTGAAGAAAAGGGAGTTCCATGTTGCTGAATCCTGACCAGGGTAGAGCTCAGCCCTTTTCTGGCCCCGTACCGAGATGTGGGTGAAGAAAGGCCCATCCTATGGGGCAGTTCAGCATCCCTCCTTTTCCTGCTCCAAATTCTGCAGATTAGAAGCTAGGCAACTAAATTCTCATGTCATTTGATCAATTTGAATTCCAGGATTTGGGCCCTTTTCCCCAGTGAAGTTGCACTAAGGCAAGAGCCTGGAGGGAATGGGAAGAGGGGCAGTTATGGAATCTGAGGGCTGTTGGGACAAAGAGCCAAGTTGGTGGTGAGGCACCACCCCCAGTTACTGGCAGTCCTGCCGGGTGTGTTGCTTGGCTTCTCATTTCAGGCGGCCCATTTCTGCCACCCACCCATGCTAAAGCTTCCTTCCCTTCAAGGGTGCTCTTCTTTACACACCCAGCCCCACTTCACCAACAGATGTTGGGTGCTGGTTTTTCTCCGCAGTACCTCTGATCTAAGAGTCCTGTGGACACAGATCACTCACAGCCTTGAATGTGGCATGGGCAGCACTTGGCGCACTGAAAAGTCGAAAGCCATCATCTATCCAAAAGATGCTTCCAAAAAGTTTGGATAGTAGAGTTTTGTAAAAGAAAAATGGTACCATTTTTCAACTTTCTTCAGAGATTCTTATCAGCCTGCTTTGCACAGATAACAGCAGAAGTGTGGCATTGGAGGTGAGGGCTTGCATGAGCTTAGAGCTCTTTTCCCCACAGTGGCAGGTGGGGGACCAGTGTTGTGGTCAACAGATCCTCTAAAAGCCAATTCAGAGTGGAGCCCTGCAGGTGCTGCTTCCAGGGTTAGCAGGCCATTCAAATCTCACCAGTTGGCCACCTGTTGTTTGATTGTGCCCATATATTGTAAAATATTCCATGAAGCCATCATGCTTGAAGAATTGGCCCCGTTGCCTACTTAGCACACCCATCTGCCTTTAAAATCGGTCTTGTGCTTTTCAGTAGTTGTTGTTACTTCACTTTGTTACTTCGTTTTATTTTGGTTCAGTCCAAAAAAACCCAAAAAACCTGTAGACTGATCCTCATGTTTCACGATAAAAACCAAATGGAAGAATAGTCAGTGAATTGTTTGCATTTAGAAGGAACTTAGCATGGACTTTTATAATGGACTTAACTTTACCTTTTTTAGAGGCACCCCCAATTCAGTGAGGCTTTTGCTGTATTTAAAGGGTGTATCTAGACTTTCCCCTCATTCTCATTCTCTCTCTCTCTCTCTCTGTTGTCTGATTTTTCAGGTCACGGTCCTTCTCATCTTCCCCATCTCCTTCTCCAACGCCATCTCCACACAAACCTCTTCCCAAAGCTAAAGGAGAGCCTGCAGCACCTGCTGGAAAGGGGTAAGATGCTGTGTCCGCTCTGGGCAAAGTGACATTGGGACATTCCCTTTTGAGGTTCTATAGCAGTATAAAGGTGCAGGGGCACTTTGCATTTGTCACATTTAGAACTAGACCAGCAAGGTACTTTCCACCAGATCAGGTTTGTAAAGTGTGGTCCTGTGGTATTGTGGCACCCAGGCGTGAAATAAAGCAAACACAACAGTTGTCTGTACTTAAATATTGATTTTTAAATGGACGTCATCTCCCTTTTCCATGAACATGTGACACATGCTTCACATACAATTGAAGAGATGACACAGTTCTGCTGAGGGATGTCTACCTACTTGTAGCAATGTTGGTTCTGCGAGGCCTGCAGCTTATCTCTTGATACGCTGTCATTCACTGATTGGATGAATGATAAAGCAATAAAATGTGTTTATTTAAACATACACTCTTTGGGTTAGTCATCATAGGGCAGTAGGCAGACTTCAGGCTTATGGGATCTACTTTTTTTTTTTTTTTAAACTAAAACCCCAGGATCCAACAACTGGAGCCTAGTGAGTGGGGGGGAGGGCTACATTTCAAATCAAACTGTTCTAAGCCCAGACCTTTGTTTCGAATACCAGAACTGAACAGAGCTCACAGTCCTTCCACTCAAAAAGTCCATGCCTGATTTCCTCCCCCCACCGGGCCCCCTAACAGTATAATTTGCAGTGGGGTGGAACTGGGGAAGAGAAAGTCACCCCATTTGGCCATGGAGATGAGCTTGAAAACATGAGGCAGATTTGGTGAAATGTCCAGAGACCCCAAAATAGACTGAACAGGACTCACTGTGGTCCCAGGAGCTGCACTTTGGAGCTCTGTGCAAAAGTTTCTTCCAATACGAAATGCAAAATAAATATATGCACGGTCACCTAAATGACTCTGAAAACCCTGTTGCTGTACTGTCCATATTCGTTTCATTAAAAGTTTTGTCTCCCAGAATATTCCTCCTTTTGCAATTCATGTGAATTAAGGAGAGTTGGGAGAGCAACTTCCCCAGAGCCTTACAGGGAGCTCAATTCCAGCATGTCCAATTAGAAGAATTTGAGGGAGGAGGGCTAGGAAAGGCCTGTGACAACTCTGGAGAGCCATTGCCAGTAGAGTAGGCAATACTGGGCTTAAATGAACAGCAGCCTGTCTCTTTGAAAGACAGCTGACCTTTGTATGTTCAACCTGGGCATCTCGTGTCCAACCCCAAGACGCTCTTTCACCATCCTGTCTCCCAGAATGTGCCAGACGGCTTTAGCATGGTCGCTAAGATTTGAGGCCAGACTTGAGTCCAGTTTAAAAAATCTAGCACCCACTCTCTTCCAGCCGGTCTCCCTGCTCCTGTCATCTTACCCATTTTACTTTTGCAGTGACAAGCCTGTGAAGAAACTACCTGCCCCTCCAGCACCTCCACCAGTCGCTAAAACTGCCCCAGCTGCCCCGGAGCCACCCAAGCCAGGAAACAGTAGAGAGGCGAGGCGGAAGGAGCGCCAAATGAGGATGCCACCCCGGAGGTAGGAGGAACAGGGGAGCTTCCTAGAACAATCTCCTAATAGGCAAGTCAAAGCATGAGCTGCTTTCTTGGGAACCTGGGGAGGCACAGCGGCCCAAGTCATTGCTTCATGCCTAGGGGCTTCCCAAGACATAGCTGTTTACTTGAAATGTCACTTAAGGCACCAGTGGCTAGCACTTCGTTTGCCTAAAGGGCCACATTCACCCTTGACCAATCCTCAGGGGCCACATTCCAGGAGCAGCTGTGTCCATAAGTGGGCGTGTCCACTCCACATTTCACAAACACATGCCCTGCTTCTCTGTGCAGATCAATTCAGGCAGGAGAAATTATCAACTCCTCTCCCTTCATCATATGATTGATCTGGTTACCAGAGAAGGGATTTCTGAGCATCTTGGGAAATTGGCTGTGGCAAAGCGGGGTTCTCCAAAGTGAAATTAGCGTGCAATTCAAATGTGTAGAATTTCTGAAACTGGCACAATATAAATGGGCCACATCCCAAAGGATCTAATTCCATGCAGGCTAAAGAAACCACTTGTTTCCTATGTTCTCTTGGGGCTCTTTTGACCCTGCTTGCTTCATTGGCTGTGGGAGCTGCATCCGGAAGACAGAAGAGAGAAACTTCCCTGCCCTTCATGGCTTCCTTAGCATTCCTCATTAGAATCATGACCACGGGTTTTTAGAGTTCTGTGACTGAAAGCCAGGTGAGAAATAGGTCCATGCCAGGAAGTATCTGTGGGGAATCCCTTCTCTTCTCCCCTGTGATCACTTTGGGGAGGGAGGAAGGGCACAGCCTCCCTTTGCCCCGCAAGAGGACTGGTTTCCCGCAACTGGTAATTAGCGGCCTGCTGCCTCTGATTGTGGAGGCACAGCCATTGTAGCTATTAGCCATTGATAGCCTTATCATCCGTGATTTTGTGTAATCCTCTTTTAAAACCAGTTGCTGATACCCCAATGGGAGTCCCATAAATGCAATAGCCCTCTCCTGTTTGGAATCCCAAGCAACTGATTCCAAACACATTCCAAGCACATCAGAGTGTAATGTATTGCTCAGCCAACTCAATTATTTCTCCCACCACCCAAACTATCCCTAGTTAGGGCTTGGGCCCGTATGCCATGGGGATGGTCCCTAGTGGCAGAAGTCATCTCACATGCAGTACCCATTGACATAGAATAGGTTCCACTGCCCCACACAGCAAGGATTTTCAAGCAGAGTTACTCCATTACGATCCCTACTTGCAAGAATCCACTTTAGCCCTCTCCCTCCTGCTGTTAGGTGCCCAGCACATCCACATGGAAGCGAGCTATTATTTTCTAAGTCACTTGGAGATGCCTTACATAGCAAGCCACTAATAGGTTGTATTATTAATATTCATTATTGTTTAGAATTTATTCTGCTGATAATGTTGGTTTTCACCCGTCCTAAGTAAGGGTTTGTGGGTGGCTGTGTATTCCTGAGTGCACCTGTATGGCAAGCATCAAGGTTTCCCTAGAATGACCAGCAAAGGTGTCTTGCACTGATGTCCACCTGGTATGTAACAGGGAGCTTGAACTTGTTTCTTGTTGCAGGCGGGCCATCAGCTGCAGCATGAGTGGCAGCGGCAGCAGCTATACTGGGTCCAGCTCCCGTTCAAGATCCATCTCCCGATCCCTCTCTCGATCTCATTCTCGGTCCTCCTCAGCTTCCATCTCCCCATCACCGTCTGGGTCCAGAAAGTCCAGGTGAGATATTTCCTTCTGTTTCTGGGTTGGAAGAGTAAAACATGTGGCTACTTCTGCGGAATGAGGCATCTCTCTTCTAAAGCAGGATTTGTTTGAAGGAAGCACCCTGCCAACCTTCATGGCCACTTGAGTAAAAACTGGGAAATGCCCAGAAATCAGCTTTTCTTATAAAGACCTTAGAATTGCCATCCTGGGTCGAAGCATCTGCCTCCGCAGCATACCCTGTGACTTTGCCCAGCCAGAATCGTCAGGATGGTTCAGAAGCAGAACATGCTAGGTACAACCTTCTCCTTGTGGATAACCCCAACTGTGCCCTCTGAAAATGTTTCTACCTCCATGCCTTGTGGCAAGAAGCAACAAGCATGTGTCATCAGCTGATTTGACTTCGCATTTAATTCATTACGGTATCCAGTACCTTGCAGTTCTTTCCTTATATTAATTTAGCTGTTGCAGGAAGACATCCTTAAATCTATTTCCAAGAAGGAATTGAAATTGTGAGGGTAGGGAGGAGATTGCAGAGAAAACCATGATGACATGAACAGTCTGTTTTGCATAATGTTATGTTTTCCTGGGGCTCCCTGCATCGGATTCTAGCTTCCGCATCAATGAACACAAAAGGTTCCCAGCTGAGCTGGTGTCCCAATGACATCTGGAAGGCACCAAGTTAGGAAAGGCTGTGCTGGAGCAGCACAGTTGGCCACCGTTTTGCTGCGGACAAGTGCTCATGAGCATCTTGACTGATTATGAAAGTCCTCTTGATATCACAGCAATTCAGCCAGTGGAGGGGGGAAGGAACGACTTGTATCCAGACGGACAATAGGCAGAAACCAGTTTTTAGCCTAGTACTAAATTGACCTGGTGCCCTCCAGATGTTTTGGGACTCCTGGAGGGCACCAGGTTATTTATTTATTTATTGGCGTTTTCATCCCCTCTTCCTCTCCAAGAAGCTCAAGGTAGTGCACATGGTTTTCTCCCCCTCTAAATGAAGGGGGTATGACTGTGAGGTAGGTATGGCTGACAGGCAGTGACAGGTCCAAGGTCACCCAGTGAGCTTCATGACTGGGGTGGTGGGAATTGAACCCTGGTCTCTAACCAGTACACCACACAGGCAAGGCTGTATTACATAAGCAAAACTATTCTCCACTGGGGTGCTGTTTCAACCCCTTCTTCTGGATCTAACTTGTATCTTTGCCCTCCTCGCACCCAACCCAGGTCCCTGAGTGTAAGTAGCGTCTCGTCCGTTTCCAGTGCCTCCTCCAGTAGCAGCTCTGTGCGGAGTGCTGACTCAGAAGACATGTACGCTGACCTAGCCAGCCCGATTTCTTCGGCCAGCTCCAGATCCCTAACCCCAGCGCAGCCGAAGAAGGAGAGAGGTAGGCCACTCTGCCTCCAGAATGTGATTTTCCTGTGTTCCTTCAAGCACCTCCTGTGGCACTGCCAGTCTCCATTCCCCTCTGCTTCTCACTTCCCCTCACCCCCCCCCCACGGACTTCCCTGTTTTTGCTGCCCTTGTTTGCAGACTGCTTTGGAATGTTCTTCACTAGCAGACGGAAAGACGTGTGAAATCTTCATGAACACAGTTCACTAGCACTATTTATTCTGGATGCAGAATGCAGATTATTTTGGCGACAGGTCCTTCTGCTGTGCTCATCATATCTGTTCACTATCTTGGCACACGAGTAACGCAAGCTTAGACCATGCATGTGGTCTGTTGTTTCTAAAGGCAAAATTCTGCCCTTTTTTAGCAGTGGAAATACACTGCAAATTCATTGGCAACAGCAGGGAAAGCCAATCAGCCGGCAAGGGAAGCCCAGAGAAGAGCCTCACCAATTATCTTTAAAGTGCAGGTGGGTTGATATTAGAGCAGGCCATCCTTGAGCAGCTTTTGTCCCAAACCATAAACAGCCATATGGGTTATTGCCAGCACCTTTCTTTGTGCATGCACTAGAGAAATGTCGCCCATGTGGCTGCTACATTTTGAGCCGACCAAAGTTTCAGAAAGGTCTTCAAGGAGAATCTCGCAAGCCACACACTCTTGTATTCAAGCCTGGATGTTACTAAGGCATGGGTAACAGTATCCGAACTGCTTCTGTGTAGGAAGGGACAGAGCTCTGGGACATTCACATATTTTTGGATTGGATTGTATGTATTTTAATATTTTATAAATTTCGCTATATAACCATCTCAAAGGTCTTAATCTGAGCCTTGTGGCTTTTATTCCAAATGTGGTTGGGGCTGATGGGAGTTGTAGTTCAAAGCATTTGGAGAGCACCAGGTTGGGGAAGGCTGGTTTAGGTTGAGTCACCACTTAAAAGGACCTCAGGTGGCAGGTAATAGGAGAGCCCTGCCACCTTTCCTGCTGGAAGCCTTGAAGAGCTGCTGCTTGTCAGAAAAGACAGCACTTCCAGTGCTGCAGCTCAGAGCTCAGTGCTTTACATGCAATAGGTCCTGGGTTGAATCCCTGGTATCATTATGAAGGGCATGGAGAGACCCTTCTTCTTTCCTTATATTTTTTATTAGTTTTCCAAATTGTTACAAATCAGACCTAATTACTTTAATACAATTTCATAAAATCAGGTTTCCCGCTCCTGTTGCACCACTGTTAATTCTCATAAATATTAAATCTGTTTCACATGTGTAAAGGTAAAGGTACCCCTGCCCGTACGGGCCAGTCTTGCCAGACTCTAGGGTTGTGCGCTCATCTCACTCTATAGGCCGGGAGCCAGCGCTGTCCGCAGACACTTCCGGGTCACGTGGCCAGCGTGACAAGCTGCATCTGGCAAGCCAGCGCAGCACACGGAACGCCGTTTACCTTCCCGCTGATAAGCGGTCCCTATTTATCTACTTGCACCCGGAGGTGCTTTCGAACTGCTAGGTTGGCAGGCGCTGGGACCGAACGACGGGAGCGCACCCCACCGCGGGGATTCGAACCGCCGACCATGCGATCGGCAAGTCCTAGGCACTGAGGTTTTACCCACAGCACCACCCGCATCCCTGTTTCACATGTGTAGTCCTTCATAAATGGTGTTCTCAGATCTGGTGCGTTGGGAGAGTTAATTGCTATCTTCCTTTGTTCAGTTCTCTTCCTTTGTTTAGTTCCCTGCAGTGCTTACAATGTCATTTCACATTCCGTTCCCTTCCTTCTGCTGTTCACCAACTTGTGTACAGGCTGTGGCTTTAAATAATTCCCAGATAAGATGTCCAATCTCCACCATTAAAATTCTACTCTGGGGTTCTTCCTCAGCACAGCTAAGTTTTTTTTTCTCAAATACAGCTGCTTCTTGCCAGATTTAATGAGCAGCCATTCATTTTCTTACTCTGCATTGCTCCCTCACACTCCTGGTCCAGTCCTTTATTCTGAATAATGAGGACTAGGATTGTGCTATATTTTTAGAGGAAGGGTCATAGCTCAGCAGTGGAACATCTGTGTTGCATGCAGGAGGTCCCAAGTTGAATCCCCAACAGCATCTTCAGGTACGACTGGGAGAGACCTCCTGCCTGACATGATGGAAAGCCACTGCCGGTCAGTTTAGACCAGTAGTCTTCTACCTTTTCAGACCCAGGACCCACTTTTAACTCAAACACACATTTGGGGACCCATTCCTTAATCTTTTACCATATATTTGCATGATGGTAGTGCTTCTGTTGCAACCCACCTTGGATCAGGCCATAACCCACTAGGGAACCCTTACCCACCAGTTTGAAGACCAGTGGTTTAAACAGTACTGGACCAGGTAGACCAGTGGAACTCTGTATAAGGCAATTTCCTCTGTGAAATGCTCCATAGCTTATATAACGTTGCTTGTTTTCAGCACAGATTGTCCACAGTTGCTGTCATGTTGACTGTCCCCTGGCCTTGCTTACAGAAACCTGGGGAGGGGAGGAGCACTTTCTGGCTCTTTGATCACCAAAGCATGTTCTGCTCCTAGCAGGAAAGCCCAAAAAAGAAGGTGGCAGCAACATCAAGGAGGAGAAACGGAAACGGGAAGCCCCAGCACAGCCCCCCAAGCCAGCCAAGGCCGTGCAAGGGGGTAAAACTCAGCAGCCGCCCCCACCTCAGCAGCCCCCACCGCCCCAGCCGCAGCCAGCCGGCTTCAGCGCCCACAAAGAAATCAAACTAACACTGTTGAACAAGGTGAGGTTTTTTTTGGGGGGGGGGACTGAGAGGGTCTCCTTAAATATTTTAAGCCGTCCCTCAACTTCCTTGCATGCAGTTGGAGGGGAGGGGGCTTCCCACTTCTCTCTGGGGCATTGATAATATTGAATAATATGCACAGGGGCCCAAGAAGGCTTCCTCTGACTTGGGGTCCACCCAGCAGCTGCCTTAGGTGTGACAACAAGGCGTCCTCAAAGCAAATGAGGGTCCTGTTTCGAGGGTGAGGTGTAAAGGGCTGGCTCAGATAGCGGACAGGTGGATCTGATCCATCACAGGCAGAACTTACTTCTTTGCAAAAAATATGTCTAACTGCTACATATAGACAATAAAAAAGGTACAAATTTAAAGAGAACCACTATTAGAGAAAGATACTTAGTTAATTGCATGCATAAGTTGGCAGCACATAAAGAGATTTCAGCAGCTGCTTAAGGAATAAAGCAGAAGGTGCCTGCTGAATTCTGAATGGTAAAGAGAGGAACTTTTCTGCCTCTCATATTATAGGACACCCAAGATCAGCCAGTTAAATTTGAGGTATAGGGGATCCAGATAGCAACTGTTTCACCAAATGCAAGCTTCCACTTCTTTGGAGTTGGTCATCCAATTTGGCTGATCAGTGTCATATGGGAGCTCTTATCAGTGGCTTCTTATTGGGGAAGGGGGACAGCAGGCAAATCACACTTGCGGGCTTCTTGGAGGCATCCGTTTGTCTGTTGTGTGGAACACAAACGCTGGGTTGGACAACTTTCTGGTCTGATCCAGTAAGAGGCTGCTCTTGTGTCCTTGCAGTCCTGCAGGGGCCTCTCTTGCGTAAACAACACTGAAGATGCACCCACCATGCAGTCCTGCTGGTTAACTTGTTATGAGCAAACTGCCAGTCATTAGGACAGGTCAGATATGTGTGATGGGAAGGTCAGTGGCACAGTGGTACATTGCTGAAACACCTGGAAGGTGCATTGGGTGTTCTTGTGTTTACAGCATGCATGACACCTTCCCCCAGGGGCCACTGCCAGTCACACCACCCAGAAGCTCTCGTCACTTTTGTCCCTGGGCATAGTTGAGGCATTTTTCTGTTAGTCACACTAGAGTGGGACAGAACAGTAGTAAGCAGCTTTTAGGTTTACACAGGAAAGCAGAGCACTGGGGACAGACTGAGCAGCATGTAGTCTGCTGGGAAAGCAGCACATGGAAATAGCGGGGATTTTTCTGCTTCTGGCCTCCCAGTTGGTTTCAGCTTGAAGAGGAATGGTTGACCTCTGCTAAGGGTGGGATTGGAGGTGCCATTGCTCTAGGGGGAGAGGACAGTTAAAAGTGGAAGCAGGCTGCTGCTTGCTTGATTGACTAACTGCCCAAGGCAGGCACTCACCTGACCAGTCGCATGCTCTCAAGGCCACAACACACACCTTTTCTGGGCCAGCCTCCAGCCGCACTCTGACCTTCTCCTCAGAAAATGTGCAACAGAGCCTGTGGCTAGAGCCAGCAAGGTGAAGACTTGGAGCACAAATGTCCTGCTGCAGGGAGAGTGCCTCATTGACAGGCCAGCCTGTGTGTGTGTGTTCCCATGCGTGAGCCTGGCTCATTCTGATCCCCTCCATTCTCTTTGCAGGCAGCTGACAAAGGAAGCAGGAAAAGGTACGAGCCCTCTGACAAAGACAGGCAGGCTTCTCCTCCAGCCAAGCGGATGACACTTTCTCCAGACAGAGGTGAGGAAGTGTGTGGGACCAGGAGAGGAGACCTCTGTTGCAAGGCCTCTCCACATGCAAATACTTCAGCTGTATACTTCTGCTCTGGTCACCAAGCTGGGTTCAGCCACTTGTCTGTGTTTGAACTCTGCACAGATGCACTTTTCGGTGACGGTTGCCGTGTGCGCGTGCGCATGCATGCACACACACTCAGCTCATTGCCGTGGAATTTGGTGCACTTGTCAGATCCTTGAGAACCACCTCAAAAAAAGAGAGCTGCCTGTCTTTTTGACTTCAAAGGCAAACTTGAAAATGTGTGGGCAGCAGTACGGTTGCCCAATGCCACCTTTGTTACAGCCAGCGGAAGTGAGGAGCTTAGTGGTGGAGCATGTGCTTTTCATGCAAAAGATCTTGGCTTCCATCCCTGGTGTCTCCAGGTACTGCCTGAAACTCTGGGGAGCTGCTGCCAGTCAGTGTAGACAACCCTGAGCTTAATGGACCCCATGATCTTGACTTGCTGTAAAGCAACTTCCTACATTCCTGTCTTTATACATGGGTTTTTTCTTCAGGGTTCAGTTTCTGCTTTTATTTATTTACCTTTTTTTAAAAAAAATGCAGGCGTGATGCTCAGCTGAAAACAGCTTAGTTGCAACATCCCCAGCTGCTCCCTGCCCTCACCCAAGTATTTGTTAGATGATCAGCTCTGACTCTTGCACGATAAAAGCCAAAAGCTGGCATCCCAGGCTTTCCCCTGACTGTGTTGCAAGCTCATTAAGGCCGACATGCCAGAGCTGCTGCCGGTATACTCAGCCTGGACTGTGCCTGCAGCCAGAGGCACAATCTGCCGTGCCAGGCTTGGAGTTGCTTAACTGCTGCTGAGGCAACAACTTTTCCTGAGAGCATCAGTAACTGAGCCACATTCCTTATGCTGATCTTGCCACCTGAAAAAAATGCATTGTACAAATCAAAGCTGGTGTTGCTAAGAAACCGGAAGCTGGAAAGTCCCCAGTTCAAATCTCACCTCTGCTGTGAACTCATGGCAGATGGTCATGTGTTCATTCTCTCTCTCTCTCTTTCGGCTTTCCACCTTCAGCACATAAATGAGAACACTGACCTACCTCACAGGGTTGTTGTTAGGGCTACTAAGATAATGTACATGAAATGTTTTGAACACTTAAGGGACCATTAATAACAGCTGCAGTTTGAATTGTTGGGAATTGTAATGTTGCTGTTGCTATTGAATTGCCCCTTTAAAGCAGCCATCCCCAACTGGGTGCCCTCCATATATTTTGGACTTGATGTCTCATCAGCCCCGGCATTGTACAGCTGTGCTGCCTGGGGCTAGTGTAACTTGCACTCCGGTACATCTCATGGGCAGCTGGTTGCATTGAAATATACTGACTGCATTAAAAGGCTGCATTATGTAAAGGCTGCATTAAAATATACTGACCCCATTCCTCAATCAGTGATTTCTGAGGGAGGGCGCACCATATGGAAACAACCACCATACTCAGACTACCTGACATATTCTTCCTTCCTCAGGTACCCGTGATAGGAAACCTGCAGGGAGGCTCTCCTCTCCCAAACAAGACCGCCAGCGGGGTCCTAACCTGAAGCTCTCAGCTGCTCAGGCAGACAAGTAAGTTCTGTGCTCCATGATCTTGGCCTGCTGCATTTCTTGGCTTCCTGCCTGGTTTTTTCCTCCCTGCGGTCTCTTTGAAGGCTGCCATGCTTTAACTACATCAGGAGGCAAGGGCCCACATGCCCAGGCGGCAACTGATAGCTGCAACAGCCACCCCCAGGTGATCCCCAACCTCTGTGAGTCACAGGCGATAGAGCCCAGTTGCCCATTTGGGTCATCCCTTGCCCTATGACTCATAAAGGCTGGGGATCACCTGTCTGAAGGCCTGAAGCAAACCCCAGAGGGCATGGGACAGGTTGAATGTCTTGGGTGTAACCTCACAGGGCATCACCTAAAAGGGCAGGGGATGCTGCTGCGTGGGCATTAAAGTGGGGAATTACCACAGGGATGGAGATGACTATCTGAGGACCTTAATAATGCCCAGTCAGAGCACCTGACTGGCATACTTTAAATGGTTGCTTTTTTTCTTCCCGACTGAAGATTCCTGTGATGCCAGAAAGCTTGTACATGAGTCTGCTGCATCTTACACCCACCCACCCCACACTCAGTAACATCCTGCAAAAACTGGGTTTCCAGTGCAGGCCAGACAATGAGATGTAAGATTGGAGACCTTATTTAGCAAGTAGACTTTTTAGCTGTTTGCATTGTTGCCACTGCATTGCCAAGGTGAGGACTGTAGGTTGGATCTGATAGCTGATGTTGTGGCTCTGTTGCCCTCGAGGGTCACACCCAGCTAATCTTTACTCACAGCAGAAGCGCTGAAATTAATGGATCTATGTTAGTCATGCCATTTAATTTAAATGGGACTCCCTCTGAGTGTGACCAGCATTGGATACAACCCTGAGTCGTCTATGCTGGGGGTGGGATCATAGCACAGCATCCCTGGTCTGCAAAACGCAAAATGTCCCATAGCTCTTTTGTCTACATTTTTTCTCCAGCTGCAAAAAAAAAAAAAGTTTTAAAACCCCCTTGGTTTGACTAGAGCTTCCCCCTGCAAACATTCCTTTCCTGAGAACTCTGTACTGTCTACAACTTTGGACGCTAGAGGTTGCCTGGTGGGGAAAAGTGGTTGGCAAGCAACTCCCTGACTGGTGAAGTCACAGAGAGTGTAGCACTAGAAGCTGCAAACTCTCCTTTCTGGACAGAGCATCCACTTTTCATGTAGTTACAATCTATGGTTACTCCAGTTAGAAGCAGACCTGGGAAAACTCTGCTTCAGACCATGGAGAGCTGCTACCCATCAGAGCTGAGGGTACAGGGCTAGACTGATGTACCATCTTGAGGTATAAGGAGCCCTCCTCAGCCTGGTGCCCTCAGATCTTTTGGGTTGCTGTTTCAAATGTTGCATGCAGTTAGCATAGGCTGCATCAAGAAATCCCAATGTTTGTACTGTTTTGTTTTTTGTTTCTATTGTAAGACTCTTTGGATGGGTATCTGTTCAGAAAAGCGGTGTAGTGGTTAGTGTTGGACTAAGACTCGGGAACAAATTGGGAGGGGGAAAGCCCTGTATTGATGCCTTGAGCTCCTTGAAAGAAAGATGGGATATAAATATAAAAATAAATAAGCATCAGCAAGTGACTCCAAAATATGTGTATGAATAAATGATAATTTTTCTTAATGGACTTGGAGAGGATGCTCTTCCTGGAGCCTCTGGCCTACATTCCTGGTTATTTCTTACCATTATGTCTTTTTTTCTGTCACAGGAAGCGCCCGCTGTCACCGCAGTCCAAGAGTTCAAGCAAAGTTACAAGCATCCCAGGCAAAGCAGCTGAGCCCGGGGGCCCAGCTGCTGCTGCGAAATCAGGCAAGTCCAGCACATTGTCACGGCGGGAGGAGCTCCTGAAGCAGTTGAAGGCTGTGGAAGATGCCATTGCCCGCAAACGAGCCAAGATCCCTGGGAAAGTATAGTCTGCCTTGGTCCAGCCTGGATTAGAGACTGCTCTCTGTGTTTTTATAAATAGCATACATACAAGCAGCCACTTCGGATTTTGCAGTTCAGTTTTATTTTGGCTGTAATCCTTTTTAAAAAAATAATAAATTGAAAAGAGAAGAGTTTTGTCAGCTGAACACCCACCCGCCCCTTCTGGCGGTCTAAGACGGCTCCCTCCGGTTACCTCCCCAGCCCACGCGTTGCCGGCACCGTGGCGGAGGCAGCCACGTTGATGTTTTTTCCATGTCCATCATGCACAGAGGACTCTTAACTGCAGCCCTGTCCAGATGCCTTCTCTGCTCTGTCCTCCGCTGCTAGCTACAAGTTGTGTTTCCTTAGTTAGCCCTGCTGTGTGTTGAGTGTCTTCAGCAATGCAGTTCTACAATGCTGTGTAAGGAGAGAGAGCCAAAACTCGCTCTGTCATCTGCCGGAAATGTCCCCCCACCCACCCACTACACCTTTGTTTGTTTGTCTTCTTCCCACCCCTCTCCACCTTACCCCCCACAAGAACTAAACCAGTTGCATAGATATCCTTGATGGAAGTCTGGTCGGAAGATCCCATGTGTCTTTTTATTTTAAGCAAAAGATTGTTTTCGTTGATTAAAAAAAATGGAAAAGCAAAGGTTTCGTCAGGATGTGTGTCTAAAAAGAGGGGTCTTTTCTTTTTTTGAGGGGTTATGCTGAAAATAAAGTATTTTGATAAACAGCTTCTCTTCTTTGACGTGCTTTGTTGCCATCTCAGGCCTGTCTCAGAATGCCTGGTAAACTCCCACCATCAGTCATTTAAATTTCCTATGAAGGGTGGATTGGGAATTCCTGCAGGGAATTTAAAAATGTGTGGGTTTGAGCTTATTCCCCCTCAAAATCAAAGTGTTATATCTAAAGGTTAAAGGTACCTTCTCCCATGAGATGGAAAGCAAAAATAATATACCACTTTGTAGTAAAACTTTAAAATATTAAAACTATCAATAAAATACTGTTTAAAAGCGATTGGAAAATCTCTGGGAGATTTTAGCTGCCTTCTTCCCTGCTTTGTTATGCAAGGAAGATTGCACCCCAACTTAATGTGCTCAAATGAGCTGATCACCAGAGCTTGCAGACAGTCCTGCCAGGTGCTCAGAAGACCCAATGGGCCTTCAAAACAACATGCAGAAGAAAGTGGGCCAGCTGACCTGCAAACTTGGCTCACGGGGTGGAGGAGAAAATGACCCAGTCCGTTAGTGAAATCTAGTTGTTCACTCCTGTCTTTAAAGGTCTCTTTCAAATTAGACACGCTGACATAATTTTTTGTCTTAACTAAACTGGATCTTTGGGTCATTCAAATGGTTTGGCTTCCCCTGTTTTTCCTTCCTCATCCCCCCAATTTTCTTCCAGTCCCCAGGAACTCACAGAAGCTAATTGTGAACTCCAGAAAAGGAGGAGAAAGAGGGCTGGGGATTGACAACCACTTGTCCCTGACTTTACATTTTAAAAACAGGAATCATTGTCCTCCAGCCCACTTGTGCTCACCACACAATAAAACACCTGTTAGTATCACTGTTCACATAACGTCACTGCTTATGAAAATTGTCAATAAAACTGGTTAGAAGTTCAGATCAAGCAAATATATGTCATGTGATGCAGAATTAATTTATGGAATTTGCAGCCACAGGATGTAGCCATGGTCCCTGGCCTTAAAGGAGGATTAGACACATTCTTGACGAAGGCCAGGTGGGGGTTAAAGTAAAACCTCCAGTTTCAGAGGCAGTCTGCTACTTCTGGGTGCAAGTTTCTGGAGAGCATCAGCAGAAGGCTGATGCCATCCAGCTCTCCTGGTAGACTTCCTGGAGGCATCTGGCTTTTCACTGGGGGGAGCTGGATACTGGACCAGAAGGGCAACTCACTCCGATCCAACCAGGGTGTTCTATGGGCAAGATTATTCAAGGAGCTGTGGCCTCCCATTTTAATGGGCATGAGCTTCTACTGGCTGTGCAGCCAGTATTAACATCCAATTCCCCCTTAGGCCACTACTAGTTGTAGAGGGCATTTCACAGGCCACTGATCTAACCCCTTTCCAGGCTCTGCTTCCCATCTGCCCTCCTTGACTACGTCTTACTGACTTGCCAGAAACTGATGCTTGAATTGAAGAGAGGCCTATAAACATGGGGGGCGGACAGAGAAATACGTAAATAAAGCTCCTGCGTGTCAGCATGACATGCACACTGGCCTATTAACTTTCACTGATAAAGAAATGTGTCATCTTAGGGTTTTTGTCAGTTTTTTAAACCTATCTTGATCAAACCAGCAATTTGGGTGTGTGTGTTTTACACACTTCCAGTTGCTGGACTGGTCACTGATGCCTGAAGCCAGACCAACAGGCAAGATTGCATCACCTGTGCTTTGAAATCAGTTACACCTCCATTTTATGTTAGTCACGCAGCAAAGGGACGCAAAGAGTGATATTCCCCCCCACCCAGCCCCACAAAAAAAGAGAAAAGGTCAGTACCCACACATCTTGGGGCCAGAAAGCTGCTGACCTCACTTCAAGTACCCTTAAGCCTTTTAACACACTACTCACCTATCCACCTCTGGTTCTACAAGTGTCTTTGTAATTTGACGAATTCTGCTAAACGCTCAGCTGTTCATTGCCATTTTCTGTGCTGAAGTTTGGGTGGATGTTTATGGGCTTTATATTTTTATTCGGTTTAACTGCATTCTTTTTGTATTTATGCAGTTTTTGGTTCTTATGCTTATTACAAGCCACTTACAGAGACTTCCCGAATTACACTGGACACTTGTAATAAAAAGCTGTTTAAAACAACATCGTGAATGCTTATGTATTTAAAATAGCACAATACCTCAAGGGAATATAAGGAGATACCTGTAGGGTCAGGCCAAAGCACTCTTCCTGTGTCTTGCTTTCCACACTCAAGGCTAAGGCCCGGCTCTCCCAAGATATGATATACAATAGCCTTATGTTCTTCTGGAAGCTTTGGTATTCTGCAACATGGCCCCAAAGTCCACCAGCAATTAGCTTATGATATTTGCTGCTTCTCAAAATAATTAAACTGAAAGTGAGTTAAACACTAAAAACAAGAACAGCCGGAAATAAGTAATATATATTTAACAAAACAGTATTCATTTGGGGGAAGGGGCATAGCTCACTGTTAGAGCATCTGCCTTGCACCAGAAGGTCCCAGGTTTAATCCCCAATGGGTCCCACTTGCCTGCAACTCTGGAGAGCTGTTGCCAGCCAGTGTAGACAATACTGAGCTAGAGGGACCAGTGGTCTGACTTGGAATAAGGCAGCTTTCTATGCCCCTTTGTAAAGGCAGAATATTGTGTCATTGGAGACATTTAGCTGGCCCTTGCAGGAAAAGAAAAGTGGACAAGATGGGCCCATAGTCTGGTACTCTTATGTAACAGTTGCATTTTCAGTGGGCAGAAGATTATGGACTTGCTAAAAAAACCTGAGCGACAGAGGACAAGGCTATCAATTGCTACTTGCCACAATGGCTATTTTCCATCCCCATTGCTGAAGGCAGGATGCCTCTGAATACCAGTTGCTTGGAATCACTTTTATCACCCACCCACTCAGGCTCATGTTCTTCCGTAAGTATCTGGAGGACATAAGGTGATCCTCCTTGCTGTGTAAAAAGGTAAAGGGACCCCTGACCATTAGGTCCAGTCGTGACCGACTCTGGGGTTGCGGCACTCATCTCGCTTTATTGGCCGAGGGAGCCTGCATACAGCTTCCGGGTCATGTGGCCAGCATGTCTAAGCTGCTTCTGGCGAAACCAGAGCAGCACACGGAAACGCCGTTTACCTTCCCGCCAGAGTGGTACCTATTTATCTACTTGCACTTTGACGTGCTTTCGAACTGCTAGGTTGGCAGGAGCAAGGACCGAGCAACAGGAGCTCACCCCGTCGCGGGGATTTGAACCACCAACCTTCTGATCGGCAAGTCCTAGGCTCTGTGGTTTAACTCACAGCGCTACCCGCGTCCCTTCCTTGCTGTGTAGGGCAACACTAATGTCACCAAAGTCTTAAGGGTTGCCACTATCCCAGAGAGTACCTGCCTGGGAGCAATACCTAATAAGCTGAAATTAAATGAGCAGAGGCACTCTCTTCCCCCACTTTCTGGCGAGGAGATGCTCTGATCAGCAAATCTGCACCCACTGAATTTCGGCATTTTATGTACCTGCTGATGGTGCAGGCAGCGGCGTAGCGTGGGTTGTCAGCACCCGGGGCAAGGCAAGTAATTTGCGCCCCCTAACCCGGGGTAAGGCAAGTAATTTGCGCCCCCTAACCCGGGGCAAGGCAAGTAATTTGCGCCCCCTAACCCCTAACCTGCCGCCGCTGCCAGCTTCTTCTTGCTGCTGCCTGGGCTGGGCTGGTGTGGTTCTCTCCCGCGCTCAGCGCTGCGCTGGGCAGCCGCTGCACTGTCCCTCCCCCAGATAGTCCCTCGCTCTCTCTCCGCACCGCACGCCTGGCACCCACCCCCTCCACAGTGGGCGGCGACCCAGTGGCTCGGATCGGATTCGCACAGCCAGCACTGCAGTGAGAGAGAGTGAGCCAGGTAGGGGCAGAGAGCTGCGAGTGCGAGCGCGCCCCCCCCCCCAGATGTTGCGCCCGGTGCGGCCGGCCCCCCCTGCACCCCCCACGCTACGCCACTGGGTGCAGGTGTGCAACTGGGACTCTGTTTTGATCACTAAAGCACATCCATGCATAGACCTCATACTCAGGGCCTACAGGATGGCTATGATTTTAAAAACTGATATTGTGGCAAAAGGTATCAGCCAGCTATCTGGGACCTTTCCATTCTTGCTTAATTTTGGAGTTCTGGCCTTGGCTTTAGGTGTCAAGCTAGCCCAGGACATAAGATGTGCCCCTGGTGCTGGAGTGGGAACTGGCGATGTCACCCTGGGTCTATGTAAGAGGTGTGTAGCCTTTACTGGGCCCTGATTGGCTCGCTGCACCAGTGACACTTGCAGTGAACAGAAATAGCTCACTTGAAGGTGCCTGTTAGCTTCAGGGGCTGGCAGTGAAGAGCCCTGCCCTGGATGAGTCCCTCCTTCCTATGGGAAACCAAAGAGGAAGTTCAGCTCAGGTGCTTATCAGTTCATCAGCTTCAACAATCACGCAATTCCTTAAGTTTCTGTTTGAGATGGGGGGGTGAGGGGAGGGAGGGAGGGAGAGAGAGAGAGAGAGAGAGAGAGAGAGAGAGAGAGAGAGAAGCTCTACAGAAGAGAGCTGGGCATGCAGGGGTAAAGACAAATAAAGCCACTGGAATGAAGCCTCTTCTTCTAGCAGAGGCTGGTCAATTAAGGCAACCACCACCAACCTCAGTCTTCCCCTACCTGCCTGTCTTCCTACTTAACAGCCAGTCCAGGGGGTCGCCCTGCCTGTCTGCTGCATCCTCCTTAGTTTCACTGTGGCCCTTATGGCTCTCAGCAAGGGACACAAGAAAAGCCAATGGCTGAATCAGGCCAGTGGCCCATCTAGTCCAGCAGTGGCCAAGCTGATGTCTGTGGGAATCCTCAAGCACAGCGGTCAGCAAACTTTTTCAGCAGGGGGCCGGTCCACTGCCCTCAGACCTTGTGGGGGGCAGAACTATATTTTTTTGGGGGGGATGAACAAATTCCTATGCCCCACAAATAACCCAGAGATGCATTCTAAATAAAAGGACACATTCTACTCATGTGAAAACACGCTGATTCCCAGGCCGT